AAGACGTGATCAATAAGGAAAGTCGTATTTATATTTAAGTAACTTTCAGTGTATTCTTAACCTTGAATATCATTCTTAAAACACAAAATGACCAATGAAGTGTCAAGCACCCAAAGCAGTTAATATTTATTCTGTAAGTCCTCTTTAATTGAAAAATATGCATTTTCATATATACTGCAGTATGCCTAATGTATATTACACACACGCATCAGAAGACAGAAAGAGCTTTATTGCCAAGTATGTTTGCACATACAAGGAATTTGTTTTAGTGTCACAAGCTTCCAGTACACGGAGACAACAACAACACACAGATAATAAAAATAAGATGTGAATAAAACACCCATATATAGCCTATACACTGCCGTTCAAAAGTTTGGGATCAGTAAGATTTTTAATGTTTTTTAAAGAGGTTTCTTATGCTCATCAAGCCTGCATTTATTTGATCAAAAATACAGAAAAAAACTGTGATTTTGTGAAATAGCCTATTATTGCAATTTAACAAAACAGCTTTCTATTTTAATATACTTTAAAATGTAATTTACTCCTGTGAAGCAAAGCTGAATATTCAGCATCATTACTCCAGATTTGAGTGTCACATGATCCTTCAGAAATCATTCTGATATGCTGATTTATAATCAATGTTGGAAACAGTTGTATTTTTTGGGACCCGTTATATTTTTTTCAGGATTCTTTAATAAATAAAAAGTTAAAAAGAACAGTATTTATTCAAAATCAAAATTGTGTGTTAAATATACACAATTATTAAAAAAAACACAAAAAAACGTTTTTTCTTTTTTTAAGAAACTTTTAGAATACTTTTATTCAGCAAGGATGTGTTAAATGGATAAAAAGTGATAGTTAGAAAAGACTTCCATTTGGAATAAATTCTGTTCTTTTTACATTTGTATTTTGTTTATGAAACACAGGCTCCAAAAAAATATTACGCAGCACAACAGTTTCAACACTGATAATAAATCAGAATAAGAATGATTTATAAAAGGATCATGTCACCGAGGACTGGAGTAATGATGCTAAAAATTATATTTTAACGTATAATAAGATAGGAAACCAATATTAGAAATTGCAATAATATTTAATAGTATTACTGTTTTTTTCTGTATTTTTGATCAAATAAATACAGCATTGATGAGCAAAAGAGACTCCATTTAAATATATATATATATATATATATATATAATAGGCCTGTGTGTATCCCTTATTTTTCTATGAAAAACCACGATTGTCCCTTATTTTCCTTTTCTGAAGTTGGCAACCCTACAGGCAACATCAACAATAAATGTTATTTTTTTAGACCAAAGAGGCATCATCATATTTTAATATTAAGTGGAGATTCTAATAAAACAGCTGAAATGAAAATATGACTGTATATTATATGAAAACTGCTACGTGTCACTTACCTCGATTCCACGGATCAGCCATCTTTAAAGAGCTAATCAGCTAACAACTCTAAAACACGCCGAACACCAGTACAAACTATTCGTTTTAACGGTAAATAACGTCTTAAACCAAAGCTAGCACATATACGTTCAGTACAATTGTTGACAACTGTAAAACAGCGCGCATTTATCACGAAGCGAACCGCTGAACAGCGACGCGGCGTACAGTGTAGCGCAGCAGCAGCCGCGGGGGATTGTGGGATATGTTTGTCCGCCAGTCATTCATTTTTCTATCATACGGACTCTGTCTGATTGCATAAGCTTCCTAGCCAGCCATCTGCTTGGGTTTGCTTTAAACGTTTTATTCGGCTAATATTATAATTTTTTTAAAATGACATTGATATGAAATAAACAGCGCGTGTCACTGTTGTGCTGGTAAGCATCTTTATTTTATAATGCATAACCTTGATTATGCGGTCATCGTAACGACGAGTAGCAAAATGCAATAACGGATGCATAATTCAATTTGATAATATTTGCATGTATAACTGCGCGTGTGGATTTTGTAGTGAAGATTAAATTAAATATATTTTCGATTGCCCTGTATTTGAAGTAGATATATATGCGCAGATACAAAGCAACAAAGGGTTTAAGGTGATTTAAAAAAAAATATTATTAACTGTTTTAATAATGATGCTTTAACAGGAGTGCAGCTTGTGATTTTTCAGTGCTTGTGTCGAATGATCACATCCACGATCTTTATACAATGCACTCTAAAAGGCATTTAAATAAGGCTTTTAATGTAATAAAATGTGCGAAGTTCAACTGAAATTATGTACCAAACGAAAGAGGGACAAACCTTTCTGAAATTTCAATGAAACGTATTTAAATGCTATAATTTAATTTAAAACATATTATATATTATACTACAACATTTTATTAGTTCTATTACATAAATCCGGTTGCATTTATGTATGAACGACAAATATGCACCACGTTAAGTTTATTATTTTCTTGAAACTGTGTAATTCAACTTGATGATGCTTAAATCTTAAATATAGGCCTAAAAAATGTTTGAGTTTAGGTGGGAAAATAATGTAATTTAATTGTGACATGTATTTTTTATTAAAAAGTGTTTTAAAGACAACCCCTTAATGCAATGTAATTTTTCATTTAAAATTAGTGCATTTAATTTATATATCTATTTCTTTGTTTTTTTTTGTAGTGTGGAGCACCAATCAGCCATAGATTGGCATAATGCTGGCCCGCAAAGGCATTTTGGCTGATGGTTTCCTGTTGACACGACTCGCTGAGGATGCCACACAACCCAGTCGCATCCGGCCAAAGTCACAGAGGGCCCGTTTCATCACCAAGAGCGGGTCGTGTAATGTTGCCCACAAGAATATACGAGAACAGGTGTGTTGCCCAAATGAACTATGCAAATGTTTAAATTCACTCACATATTGTAGTATAACGTGTTATTAGACAACAGATGCAGTACACTTTATTGATTAGATTCTGTTGCGTCTCAGGGCCGGTTTCTCCAAGATGTTTTCACCACCATGGTGGACCTGAAATGGCAGCATTCTTTGCTCATCTTCACTTCGGCATTCCTCTGCTCCTGGATGCTCTTTGCCATGGTGTGGTGGCTTTTAGCGTTCGCTCATGGCGATCTGGAGCCTCGAGATCCCAACGAGCCTGGACCTGTGCCGTGTGTCACTTCCATTCACTCCTTCACGTCTGCTTTTCTGTTCTCCATTGAGGTGCAGGTAAGGAGCAATCTGGATGGATTTGAATCCGATTGTTGACCCATTGAGGTCCAAATGGCTGAGCTTTCTGAACCTGTAATATCAGTCATTTCTGTGATATCAGGTGACTATTGGTTTTGGAGGACGAATGGTGACGGAGGAATGTCCACTGGCCATCATAGTCCTCATTATCCAGAACATTCTGGGCCTGATCATCAACGCCATCATGCTGGGCTGTGTATTCATGAAGACAGCTCAAGCCAACCGGAGAGCAGAGACCCTCATCTTCTCCCGTAACGCAGTCATTGCCCCGCGGAATGGCCGACCAACGTTCATGTTCCGTGTCGGGGATCTGAGGAAGAGCATGATCATCTCAGCCACAATACAGCTGCAGGTGACAAATATCTTCTACTCTCTGAAAAACAAAGGTTCTTTATTGGCATCTATGGTTCCATGAAGAACCTTTAATGTCAATGGAGCCTTTCCATTTTTGACATTAAAGATTTTTTAAATGTACTTCAGAACTGTTCACTAAATGGTTCTTTGGGAAACCAAAAATGGTTCTTCTCTAGCATCACTGTGAAAACCTTCCTTTTGGAACGTTTATTTGTAAGAGTGTAGCTCTTCTGTCCAAAAGTTGAATTCCACCCTAATCTTTATTTCCGTTATTCAGGTGATTCGGCGGACAGTGACTGCGGAGGGTGAGGTGATTCCTGTCTGTCAGCTCGATATCCAGGTGGAAAATCCTCTCAGGAGCAACGGCATATTCCTTGTCTCTCCACTTATAATCAGTCACACCATTGACAGAGGAAGTCCGCTGTACGAGATCTCAGCGCAGTCACTGGCTACCGAAGACCTGGAGATCATTGTCATTTTGGAAGGTGAATGGAGTGCACTTCTCTTTATTGTAATAATTTTGAATTAATGAACTAAACTGAAAAGAATTAGCTGCCTGTATAGCTCACTAGGTTTTGAAAGCGAGCCGATGTGTCTGTTCTACCAGGTGTTGTGGAGACCACCGGCATCACCATGCAGGCCCGCACATCCTACACGCCAGAGGAGATCTTGTGGGGTCGGCGTTTCGTCTCCATTATGACGGAGGAGGATGGGCGCTACTCAATCGACTACTCCAAATTTGGAAACACCGTCCCCGTCCGGATGCCGACGCTCAGTGCTAAGGAGCTGGACCAGACCAGGGGCGTGCAGGACAGCGGACCCCATGAGGGTAAACCTCAGGGCTGGGGGCTGGTGAGGGCGGGACGGGGCGGGTACAGGAGGGGCGGCGGCCGGGCCTGCGATGACACGGCAGCCAAGCCTTGGTACGTGCCAGCGGAGAAGGAGGAGGAGAAGAAGGGGCAAAAGAAAACGGTGAAACTTGAGGAAATAGGCAGAGAGATTGAAGAAGAAACAGTGGAGGACATGAGCGATTAGAACAAAAACATTTATTTGGTTTTTCAGGTATGGAAGTAGAAATAACCTAGAAGTAACTGGTAATTAGTTCACTTAAAGTTATAGTTCACCTAAAAATGAAAATTCTGTCATCCCTCATGGCATTCCAAATTCATAAGACTTTTATATCTTCACAAAACTTGTAAATGAAAATTTGATTAACAGCAAATCCTTTTTGGTTCTTCTAAGTTTTGATTTCCTGGACTTTCAATGGAGGGACAGAAATCTTTCAAGTTTCATTCAGAATAACATAATTTGTGTTTCGAAGGTTAACCAAAGTCTAATGGGTTTGGAACAACATGAGGGTGAAGAAATGATGACACAATTTCCATTTTTTGGAGAACTATCCCTTTAATATTCAAGAATATTACACTCCACATGTTTGTAAACTGTCAAAACATGGACAACTGTGGCACTGTTTACGAATACCTCTGAGAATTTCTTGTAGATTTTGTCCTTTTCTGCCAGCAATATAATGAATTTTAGGATTGTTTTAACAGAAAAATGTGGTATCTTGGCAGTACTAGTCAAGATATGAACCATAGTTAGGGTAGATGCCATAATTCATTCAGTGAGAATAAAAAGCAGGCTGTGGGGGATAGAAGTACAGTCAACAGAGACAACTTTCAAGCTGTGAAATTAAACATGATGACCAAAAACCTTAACTCTGCACAAACTGTTGAACAGACTGTTTCTATCCACCACAGATTAGTTTTTTTTATTCACGTCAAATTAAATATGGCATATACCTAAATTAAAATGTATTACTGCTGCTGTTAAAGCAAACATGTGGCAGCTGTATATGTTTGTATGTTGGGTTTTGATACCATAAGCCCTTTTAAAAAATATTCCAGTTCATTGCCTTTTTGTGTTCTAATCTTGTTTTATGAGATGTGATGTGTTTGTAACTTTTTTTTTAAGGGATAGTACACCCAAAAATGAAAATTCTGTCATTTACTAACTCTCATGTCATAACAAACACATTTTGACTTTCATTCTTCTGCTGAATGTAAAAGAACAATGTAAGTCAATGGGAACCAAAATTGTTTAGTTACCAACATTCTTTAAAAGAAGATATTTTGAAGAATGTTGTAAATAAACAGTTTTGGTTCCCATTGACTTCCATTGTACAAATAGAAAATACAGTGGAGGTCAATAAGAAATAAAACCATTTGTTATCATTTACTCACCCTCATGCCATTCCGAATCTGTTTTTTTTTCCCTCTGTGGATTTAAAAAAAAAAACAGTTTTGGTTTCCATTGACATATATTGTTTTTATCCATACAATGGAAACCAATGGAAACCGAAACCATTTCGTTACCAACATTCTTCAAAATATCTTCTACATTGCACAGCAGAAAGAAAGTCATACAAGATTGGAATGACATAAGGGTGAGTAAATGATGGCAAAATTATAATTTTCGGGTGGACTATCCCTTTAATGTGGCTATCATAGTTGTTTAGTGTGTAAGTGTTGAAATATTGTTTACATTGCGTGGGCTTGTGCAATTGTGTTGTGAACTAGAGGACCTGAACCCCTTCCATACATACCTTCACGTTTGTGTCCAATTTAAATGTGAAAATTAGGGAATACATTCCATGTTGATTTAACAGTTTACATATCAGTGAGTTAATTTATTTTGTGTATTTCACATATTTAATAAAGCATATGACATTTTATATATCTGACTGAAGGAATTCCTGAAATTTACTTTACTTTTTTTTGGAAAACGGCATGTTATGTCACAGGATTAGGGGTCAACAGCTGGGCAGACTTTACAGCGAATGAAGCGGTTCCATCTGTGTTCAGATGGTGGAGATTTTAAAGTCGTCTGTTTCAAATCCACTCACTGAATATATTCCTCCTTTTTAGTCATTTAGTGTTATATTGATGTTAGGTGCTGCATTTAAATGGATAGTTGAAGTGGAGCTGTCCGCGGTGCTGAATGGACACTTGAACCATTGCAGGTGGTGTGAAACTGGACTTATAAGATGGTAAAGGGTAGTTAATTTATTAATGTAAATATACTACATACAAAAGTAATTTATGAAAAGATCAAACATCTTGCTGCATTCTTTTTAAATATCAGCCAAAATAAAATAAAATAATTTTAAATTGAAAAGAAAAAGTCAGAAAACAATGGTATTAGAATAAAAATAGTTTACAACAAGCAGTGCTTTTTGATATATAAGTCGTTAGTTAAAACCAAACAATCACAAATAATAGTACATAGTGAATATATAGATATCCATAAAGGGTATGGCAAGAAATAGCCTTCGAGGACACTAGTGAGAAATCATGCAGTGATGCAGCAGGACCAGAGGCCAGTGAGCACCGCCAGCAGGGATAAGATCCACGTGCTTGCCACGGTCGCTGGTCCACTGTTACACAGGTCAGTGTTGCAGCACCTGTAAGTATATTCTGATATCGACGGAAACTTCTGGGACAGACGAGAGTTATCACAGTCAGTGTAACGAATGCACCGGCGAATGGTCTTCCCACCTAGAAAATGAGAACTGTTAATCAGTGAATAGAATAGAATAGATTGTTTAAAAAAATAAGTCACTTATTTTATTTTTCAAATTAATGTTATTTTAAATGGAGCATATTTTTCAAGCATTTTTATAAAAAGGAAACCAAGTTCGAAATTAACTTATTAACTTATTTATACTATAAAAATGATGTAGCCTTTCAGTTAAAATGTACTAATCGCATAAACTGAATTCTTACATCCACTAAAAATCCCATCAACAATAAATCCATCAAACACCTTACCTTTTGGAGATTTAAGACAAGTTGGAGGTTATCATAACTTTAAGAGGGTTTCCATCATTATTTGTGAAAAAAAAAAAATTTGCATCACAGGAGTAAAATATATTTTACAATATATTCACATAGAAAACGGTTTTAAATTGTGTTTTTTTAATTGAAAAACTATTTCACAATATTAGTTTTTTACTGTATTTTTCAGCACATAAAAGCAGCCTCGGTGAGCAGAAAAGACTTCAAAACATTTAAAAATCACAATGTTTGCAAACTTTTGACAAGTACTGTATATACAATATATATATATATATATACACACATATAAAAAGTATAAATGTTGTTTATACTATATATATATATATATATATATATATATATAATTAAATAATATAATACATCAAATAAAACTGAAAAGCATAATTGCGCAGTTCAAATATCTTGTGCAATACTTGTATGACAGCTGTAGGAAAATAATAGCATCAGAAATATATTAAATATCACTTACCCTGCCCAAAATATTCAGGGTTAATCCAAGCTTGTGCGTTTCAACAGTCCAAAAGCATTCTTCGTGCCACCTCTTCCCTGCTCGAGCTCTCGCCCAGCCTCACCCTTGCCCTACATGAATGATGTCATTGATGGAGTTTCTCCTAGATGCCAAGACAGATTAAAGGGATCTGAAAAACGAGACAAGATTATGTTTAACAGTCATTATAATTAATATCCATTAATATATTACAATGCCTGCGCGTTGGTGACTCATAGCAGCTATAGGTAAATAACTACAAGTGCAATGAACAGTAAAACTACTTGCACTACAAACCAGTGTTTATGATAATAAATTAAACTAATATGATAACAGTTTGCAATATAGAGCTTAACAGACTCTTTTTGTACAAGTAAAATAGTTAGAAGCGAATGACATCATAACGCATCTAAAAAACAATTGCATTTCGCTAAATGATTATCTTGCACAGCTAGAACTGGGTTATATTAACCTAAAACGGAGCACATTCAGAATTTGCCTTTACAAAGATCTTATACAGAATCTTCACAGAACTTTAGTTCAATCTAATTGTCTCTCTCTTTGTACAGCGTAACGACTGACCACGAGAATTAAACCCCAATCCTTTCTGCTACGTTTCCCAACACTGCAGCTGGTGCTGACAATAAGGCCTGTGTCACACTTCCTAGAGCCTTTCTGCAGTCATGGAAGCACTCAATTCAAATGTCATCTCAATGCCACCCTTATTTCAGACTGAATCTGAAAAGGCATGAAATACAACTCTGAATCTGGATCTGATGATAGCAGAATAATTGGGGTTAAGCAAATGGATTTGTTGGGATTTAAAACAGTGAAGTACTGTTGTTTGTGCGGCAGCCCACACAAGTACTCATGTTGTTGCTTTTCCGCTACCTTAGCAAAGGGAGCAGAAAATCACCCATCACATGTCAGAATGCTAATATCCAGGAGAAGGCGTGATGATTGACTTTTTCCACAGTGCTGGAATGGGACTGTGTTTAAAGGACCAAACACAGGCACAGATGAACAATGAAGCAGTGGTCAGACAAGCAACAAAGAGCACTTGATCTTTGTTTGGGCTGTAGCATTCAGTGTAGCATTTTAAATCATGTGTGTATGCGTCTAGTTAATAAAAAAAAAAATATATATATTACATTATTTTTTAATATGCATCAATCAAGAAATGGCTTTCTATTTAAACATGAAATCATCGTATCTATAAATGGTGACTCAATTAAAGGAATAGTTCACCAAAAAATTTTAAATTGCTGAAAACTAACTCACCCTCAGGCCATCCAAGACGTAGAGGAGTTTGTTTCTTCATCGGAATACGTTTAGGGAAATGTAGCACTACATCATTTGCTCACAAATGGATCCACTACAGTGAATGGGTGCCGTCAGAATGAGAGTCCAAACAGCTGATAAACGCATCACAATGATCCACAAGCAATTCACACAACTTGAAGAATTACACTTCCCGTATGATATGAGCGTTCTATCCATAATATTGCAGAAAAGTCATCTCGTCTGAATCAGGAGAGTAGTATGCACGGATCAAACACTGTTTACAAGCGTACTTGTGGGTTATTTTAATGTTTTTATCAGCTGTTTGGCACCCATTCAAACCAGTAAAAACATAATAACATAACAATACTTCACAATAGATGACAATAACATAAAAAAAACTTTATTAAACCATTATTTGTTGAATATAGTTTCCATATGCTGTCATTTTAAGTAGGTTTCTATAATACATGTACACATTCTCCAGGTATACATTTCATATTCTTGAGTTCCAGTGTTATAAGTTTTCAGGAAGAAAGGGTGTATAATGTGTAAATCCAAGTAAAAGACATATTTCTCTTTGCAAGAAGGAACTGAATGGAAATATGGAGCTACCATTCACTTATTTTGTTTGAAAATAAACTTGAAATCAGAAGTAACTTTGTTCCTTAGGCCTAAGACCTGGTGTCTCCCAGATAAAAAACATTTCATAATAATTCATGAAACGGACAATGCACATTATTGTGTTTACATGACAACTAAATCAAGAAAATACTAAATTATGAATCTAGACATAACGTTTACATTTGGTACACATCGTATTCGATTAAAGGAAAATACACATTAAAGCCTTAACTAAATAAAATCAGACTTAACTTTGGCTCATTTTATGAGAAATCAAAATTGAAGATGAGCAAATGTTTGCTTTGACACAGCTACGGCATATACCTCCCAACACCATACGAGAAGATTCACTCGATGGCATACCACACTGTGAGGTAACGGTCTAACATTCAAAAGCATTCATATACATACATAAAAAAAAAAGTTTAGATTTTTGGCAGCTCACTTATTAATCCTTACAATCCTTTTGCTACTCATGAGTACAGATGTGGGTATGCTATGCCATCAATTGCTCACTAACGCATGAAATGCTAACAAAAATAGCTAACTGCTATGAAACATAATAGTTTGACCAATTAAATGAGAGTAATCTTTTGCGTAGAACACTGTTTTTGAAATTTCTGTTTTTAAAATGTACATTCATTCAAACAGAATAAAAATGGATTTATTGAAATAACTCTTTCCATAAAATACAAACTTTCTGAGGATTTAAACATGCTAAATTTTCAGTCGTGCAAAATCGAAATATATTTTAAAATAAAGACAAGCCATGTAAATCCAAGTAAAAGACATATTTCTCTTTGCAAGAAGGAACTGAATGGAAATATGGAGCTACCATTCACTTATTTTGTTTGAAAATAAACTTGAAATCAGAAGTAACTTGAGGTGTCTCCCAGATAAAAAACATTTCATAATAATTCATGAAACGGACAATGCACATTATTGTGTTTACATGACAACTAAATCAAGAAAATACTAAATTATGAATCTAGACATAACGTTTACATTTGGTACACATCGTATTCGATTAAAGGAAAATACACATTAAAGCCTTAACTAAATAAAATCAGACTTAACTTTGGCTCATTTTATGAGAAATCAAAATTGAAGATGAGCAAATGTTTGCTTTGACACAGCTACGGCATATACCTCCCAACACCATACGAGAAGATTCACTCGATGGCATACCACACTGTGAGGTAACGGTCTAACATTCAAAAGCATTCATATACATACATAAAAAAAAAAGTTTAGATTTTTGGCAGCTCACTTATTAATCCTTACAATCCTTTTGCTACTCATGAGTACAGATGTGGGTATGCTATGCCATCAATTGCTCACTAACGCATGAAATGCTAACAAAAATAGCTAACTGCTATGAAACATAATAGTTTGACCAATTAAATGAGAGTAATCTTTTGCGTAGAACACTGTTTTTGAAATTTCTGTTTTTAAAATGTACATTCATTCAAACAGAATAAAAATGGATTTATTGAAATAACTCTTTCCATAAAATACAAACTTTCTGAGGATTTAAACATGCTAAATTTTCAGTCGTGCAAAATCGAAATATATTTTAAAATAAAGACAAGCCATTTCAGTTTGATTAATATAAAACGTTGCAGCACATGGAAGATAGTCCAGCCTTAACTGTACACGTGTATAGTTAAAGGTTAAAGGGTTACTCCACCCTAAAATGAAAATTTTGTCATTAATCACTTACCCCCATGTCATTCCAAACCCGTAAAAGCTTTGTTCATCTTCGGAACACAATTTAAGACATTTTGGATGAAAACCGGGAGGCTTGTGACTGTCCCATTGACTGCCAAGTAAATTACACTGTCAAGGTCCAGAAAAGTATGAAAGACATCGTCAGAATAGTCCATCTGCCATCAGTGGTTCAATCTGAATTTTATGAAGCGGCAAGAATACTTTTTGTATGCGAAGAAAACAAAAATAACGACTTTATTCAACAATTCGTCTCCTCTGTGTCTCTCTGCTTCACTGTAGCGCCATTTTGGAGAATATCCGCTGAACGCAAGCAGCGTACGCTATTCTGGCTCTACGGTGATGCGGAGAGACACAGAGGAGACATATTGTTGAATAAAGTCGTTATTTTTGTTTTCTTCGCATACAAAAAGTATTCTTGCCGCTTCATAAAATTCAGATTGAACCACTGATGGCAGATGGACTATTCTGACGATGTCTTTCATACTTTTCTGGACCTTGACAGTGTAATATACTTGGCAGTCAATGGGACAGTCACAAGCCTCCTGGTTTTCATCCAAAATATCTTATATTGTGTTCCGAAGACGAACAAAGCTTTTACGGGTTTGGAACGACATGGGGGTAAGTGACAAAATTTTAATTTTGGGGTGGAGTAACCCTTTAACATAACTTTAGAGAAGACTGCATTTAACTGCTCCTTTTTGATTTTGCACAGATATATACAGGGAGAACAATCAATACTCTTCAATATTACTACATTTAAAATTGATAATTTGAGATATACCACAAATTACAATATTTTCTAAACTGATAATAAAGATGCTTTAACAACTGTATGAATAAAATCAACATGTTAAATTTCAACTGCAACATTGAAAATATTACTATTAAAAAGCCTATTAATAGATCTCTACTGGTGACTCCTTTTTTTAACCTTGAGAAATAGTTTTTTAAAAACAGTTATGACTGAAAAATATGGAACTTTTTAGCACAAGATGAAGAAAATTTTAAAAAAGTTATCTTGTAAAACATGCCGAGTCATGTTGGAAACCTCCAAATTCCACAGTTTCAAAGAACATTATTAGTAAGTATTAAACTTGCTTGTATTTAAGAATATACAATTTAAGTGTAAAATATATATACTGTATATTGCACAGGTATAATAGATGGAATTTAGTGGCAAGGCAAGGTAAGACAAAAATAATGTGAAATTAAAGTCAGTGAAAAATATATGGTGCTGACCATAACACATGCACTGCTAGAATACACGAATGCACATAATAACACAATCAAAAATATAAAAGCTTTGTTCTTGTATGACTTTGCTATGTGCTATTCTTTCAGATACAAAAATTTCATCCAAGGGTAAATTGTGGTACAGTGTCTCCTACTAGTGGTGACGTCATGCACACATATTTGTATTGGGTGAAAAGTATTGCTGAGACAGACAGTGATACAATTTTGGGGTATTATTACTGAAATATTTTCTGTTCATCATTTAAAAATTTTTAGTAAACATCTGACTATTTAGACCGCCTCTATGCAGCTTTAAAAAGTAAAGATATATTTGTTGCTTTGATGTGGAATCAGAAAATGTAACTATAATTTGAACTGGCTCATAAGGGTGTCCGGCATGGCTGCCGGTAGCTGTACATAAAAATATGTACCAGAAATCAAGCACCAGCACATGCTAAAAAAACTTTTTTTTTCTCGGTAAGGTTAAACCTTGCATATTTAGGCTATATATTTGAAATCTTTAAATCAGATTGGGTGTAAACTGCACATTACAGGTACCTGATTGCATAAAGTATTATGGCACATCAACATGTTATCAAACCAAGATTTACATATAATCTTAAGAGTAATGGTTAACTAAAGAGTATCTAAAAAATTATTTAGGAATATACTGCATGGCAAAATAGTGGCTATTTCCATTCCAATTAGCAATAACCAGCATAAAGAGCATGCTATAAAAATTAAACACTTTTTGTTATATAATTTCCATACACACAAGTCTAAGTACAAATACAGAATGATTGCTCCAACTATATTGCAGATATAACAATAAAACTGTTTTTCCAGAAAGGTTTTAGTTGAATCGTTTTTTGCAAGATGATGACATTTTCAGAGATTAAAAAAAGAAGACTGTAAGGAGGCTTCACTCACCAATATCTGATGAAATGGTGCTCAGTCGAACATTCACCTAAAGGCAACAATCCTCACAACTAGAAAATAGTTTCTCTTTGGAACAAAAACACATATCAACACATCACAACCATTTACATGAACATTTGAAAGCGTTTCATGAGCCTGCGACCTGCAAAGGCATTCATACCGACTCTTAGAGAAGATGCTGATCTAGGCCAATTTAGCAGCAGGGCCAGTGTCAAACTACTTGGCCAATCACATTATAGTCCCGATCAGCCCTTTTCCAATGAGATGGCTTTTTGGAATTATGTTGGCTGAGTAATTGGTGCCGATCAGTCAAATATCTGGATAATACTCTGCATTCATATCCATATTGTGCAACACAGACTTTTGTTCGGCGGTGGACATTCTGCTCAGCACTTCTGCAGAGGGTGAATAGCTGTTCCCGGATTTCTCTTCAAACCAGCTGTCCAATGCTCGCTTTCCATCAAAGCTCCTGATAGGCGGTCCGTTAACGGCCATGGTGAGCAGATCGTTGATCTGCTCCAGAGTTAGTCTGGAACGGCAATTTCTGCGCACTTTTTGCAACGAGCATCTTCCTTTGTCACAGCATGTCGATGACGTTGGCAAGACCCTGACAACCTGCAGGATGTGATTGAGAAGAGGAAAACGTTGCTTATATCTGAAGATGTGGCTGACTACTTCTTTAAAACCATTCACACTACAATAATCAGCTTTTAGATCCCTCCATTCAACTACAAGGCTTCCTCGGGCATCTATTCTTTCTTGAGAGAGCTCACGGCCAGATGACGGAATAGTTTCCAGGTGGTCAAAAATGACAAGGATCTCCTCCTCTCCATATGCACCAAGATCATCCCTGTTAAGAGGCCACGAGGCCAGGTCAAGGACCTGACAAGCCTGGACCACTGTGCGACTGTGTGGATCAAAACGTTGGGCCAGGATGCCTTGACTTCGCTGACAGATCTTCTCTCGAATGGACTGAAACTTGGACTCAGCAACCCGCAAGTTCTTGAGCTCCACGCCATTAAAACTCTCCCGAAAGTTGTCCTCAAACTCCTGTAGGTACTCCCCTGGGGAGTCCACCAATTGACCAATCTCATAAATGGCATCCTCAATTTTTGCGTCCACCTGTGACGGCAACAGATAGTCCCCCTGAAATATGAAAGCAAGTCGTGAAAAGACAGCAATGATGTCCAACAGAAAATAGATCAGCTTCACCGACTGATAATCCAACAGGAACTGTAGGAGAGACAGAGCAATGGCAGCAGCATCACCTCTCTGGGTTTGGCTGCTTATGCTCTTCAAGTGAGCAACCACCTCTAGATAGTCCTTGATTAGGGCATTGAGAACATTGGGTTCACCTATAATCCAACGCACAGCCCTTATATCCCCAAGAAACTCAGTTTCCTCAGACAGAGTTGGTGCTGTCGTCCTCAACTCAGCCATCATACGAGGAGAATACCGGTAGAAGCTAAGAAGTTGCTTCAAGTTGTTTTCCAAATCCTCCAAGCAAGACAGTTCCTTTCCACTGATAGCATCCAGCACCTCTAAATGGGGACGATGGATCATCACAGGTAGACATAACACCCAAGGGATTGTCTTTCGTATGGCTATGTAAATTTTTGCCCTCAGACTAGAGGAGAGGTTTGAGCCATCTATTCCCAAGCCAACAACTAGCATGTCCTGAATTCTTAGACCAAGGACACCAAAGGCACGATCCACAGCCTGGAGGTAGCCTTCCACATTGCCTCCACAAAGCCTTTGTAGGGAAAGGAACTCAGTGGTAGGAAGTCCATCAGTGGTGGTGAACTGGACGTAAATGGCAACAGTGTCAGCCAAGAGCTCATCGTTCTGGCCATCCATGATGATGCTTAGAAAGGGCGAAAGGCGAATCTTCTCGGCCAAATCCTCTTTGAATGCTCGAGCAATGTGTTGGATGAGAATCTGACAGTCATTTTCATTCATGTACTGATCTACCACTTTGAGGTCGCACTTCTTGAGGAGCTCCGCCAAGGGTCGCAAATCGGAAAATGGTCGTCCTTCCAAAGCCAGATGGTAGGCAGCATTGAAAAGAGTCAGCATATTATGACACATCTCCTCGGTCTTCTCCGGGTGCATGCGAAGTTTGTAAAGTTGCAAACACTTCTTGTGCAGATTGCTCTGGCTATGAAGTTTAATGGTGTGGATTTTGAATTGCTTGGAACCAATAATAAAAGCAGAGGTGCGGGAGGACTGGACGGTATATTGTCGGCACACGTGGCACCACATCTCATTCAGTGTGGGCGAATAACGGAGAAACCAGAACTTCTTCAGCCACTCCTGTTTGAAGCGACGAATCCGACGACCTGAGCCCATCGAGAGTTTTGAAGACTCATCCGTAGCCACCATGAGGTCAGCAGAAATGGATTCATCAGCAGAATCAACATCCTGGTCATCTTCCTCAAGCACCGCTGGGACAGGCGTCATGGCATCTACAACAAATGAGCAAACAGAGCACAGAATTAATCTGAAAACCAACATAAAGCAAGTTTAAATTAAACAATTTCTTATTGATTAGTTTTGGCATGAATGAAGGCATTTTTACACCTATTGTAAGCACACCTTCTCAATACAGTTCATGATATCTCAAGTTCTATATCAACTAATACACTAATACAAATCATGTTTAAGTATGATTAAATTAAAACATTCTTAATTCCACAAACCAAACAATCAAAGACTTAAACTTTAGTTGCAGGCTCCAAAAAGAAAACACTCATTATTTTATTAAAACTTTTAATTAAGAGTGCACTTCCATTTGAAACATTTCAACAAATTTGGCAATCACACAATCACCAGCAAAAATGCAAAAAAGCAACAACAAAAGAATGTTAACAGTGATTGATTAACTACAAGACAAAATAGTCTATATATATTTAAAAAAGAAAATCATCAATATCTACTCCAGAAAGACTCTTATCCATGGTAGTGTTCCATCCCAGGTGCAAACCTACCTCTGAGGTCCTCACTAGGAAGGGGCTCAGATGGTGGTACAGGCTTAATTTCAGCATGCCCCTGTCCTCTGAGATGGAGCAGTTCAGCCTCCAGCTCACGGATTCGTCGTTTTAACCTCACACAGTTTGGGCAGAAAGATGTTGATGGTCCTTCGCCAGTCAGGGTCGCATCTTCTTCTGTTTTTTCCATTTTAATGCATTTTGCATCAAACCCACTCTCGTGATGTTCCATGGAAGCCAATCCAGAGGTGAAGACGGACTCTTTACACTCTGCGTCAGGCTGGCTGAAAACCTGGCAGACATTTGTTCTTGCTCTTGGAAAAGACAAGGTGCTGTTCAGGGGGTTGTTCTGGCTTTGATTAGCCTCCAGAGATGCTTCCAGGACATCTTTGAAAATGAGGTCAATCTTCTTTTTCTTGGCATGGGGCTGGTTTTCTGCCTCATCACTTCCATGCTTACTTAGGGTCCTTCTACCGTGCATTGCAGATCTCAACACTGGACCTTTGGGCTCCTCCTGTTCTTCTAATTTCACTCCTGCAATACAACAGCGTTATGGTTAATGTATGTAACACTAACAGCATATTTTTTAAAAACTGTGGAAAAATATAAGTGATTTTGAAAAAAGTGCTAAAGAAAGAAAAAAATGTATATAAATCCCATTTCACTTACCTGTTAAAACTATTGCAGGCCTGGAACATCTCTTCTGGGTACTTTTTTGTTGATCAAAAATGTTCAATATAAAATTCTGGTCTATTCCTCACAAAAAGCTACTGAAGACTTGAAATTTAGCAAACAAATTATATTGATCACATTTATTATTTTTTATGATGCCTTTGGTTCCCCCTTTGAAGCTTGAAACCTCCAGTCTGCATTAACGGTATTGAAAGGAAATCGGCGACCAGTAGAATTCTTTTTGTATTTCACAGAAGAATGAGTTTGAACCAACATTGGGATGAGTATGTAGTGCTAATTTTTGGCTGAACTACTTCAATTATAGTAAATATTGTTTAAATTTTGGTCAAATCTTGTTGTGAGTTTCAGTCTTGTCTAAAGTTCAACAACAGATCTAATCCAGTAAACGAAATATCTTCCCGTAAATGTCTTTTATAAAAAACAAACCAATTATTATTCAATTAGAAAATGATTTTGGTTCAAAGTGATGCAAATTTAAAATGTGCTGTTAGGAGTTTATAAGAATATATTAGTATTCCAGTTCAACAGTCTCCACATCTGGATTCGGCCCTGCAGTGTTTGTATTAGCAGCCCCTTAAAATGTCTTTGGAGATTCTTAACTTTTGACCTATTTCAAAATCGTTCAATTTAGTCAACTTTTTTTGGCTCAAGCACAGTGAGGGGTGTCTCACCTGTGTCCAGATTGCGGTCAATGCTGTCCCGAGACACACTTTGCAGTCGCCTCATGTACTCGCTGCTGTACCACACACAGAGTTTCTTGCCCACCGTCAGTCTCTGACACACTCTGAAGTAGATTTCTTCCCCATGTTGAAACGCACTCAGGTTCTTTTTACTCTCATCAGAAGAAATCGGAATAAACCTGAGAGGAATAAGCAATTAATATTGTGAACAATCATATCAACTTAACCAAGGTGACTAAAACAACATTTTCAACACAAGATCCGTACATTACAATAGCACAAAGAAAAGGAAAAGAATAATTAAAGTTCATCTCAGCAACATGGTATTACCTCATCCAGTTAGAATTAGTTTCATCACTCCCATCAATGAATTTATTTTTGCTGTCCTTATCAACAATCTGTAATAGATACATTTGACATTAAAATATAGTTTTTATCTGCATTAAAGATTAATACAAATATATACAACTATGCTAAATGGTGTTTAAATATACAACATAAACTACCATCCAAGAGTACGGTCCTGAGGGTTTATCCGAGGCCATTATTTGGCCTTGATAAGGACCAAACAGCGCCCCCTTTGGTATATTTTCATCCATGCAGCAGACATCCACCTTATCACCTTCTCTGCGGATCTCGATGCCTGAGGGTACAGTGAGAGCTGCCCGATTGGGGGCCCCTGATGCCACAGGGGTGTCTGGCACAAAAACAGGGGGCCCATGGGTAGGGCACTCCTCCAGGAAATACTTCTTGCACTCTTCACAGACTGTACATGTAATATTTAATAAGCAATGAGTAAAAACAACATAATTATATATATATATATATATATATATATATATATATATACAATTCTCATTTGATATCCAATTTTCAGTGACATACACAACACTTGTATTTAAAGTTAAAGTAAATGATACTTACACCAAAAACTGGTCGAATGCTCATGGTCAACTTTTAGTTTTTTGTTTGGCTCTTCAGTAGACTTCTCATTTGAGGCACTAGTAAATAGGTAGAAAAACTGCTTATTACTACTATTTTTTTATGCACAGGGATTGCTCTTTAAATGTTTGCTGTTGTAAACACTTTGTGACGCTGACCTGGTGCTGCATTCAGCCTCAACTTCCATGGGGGAATGGTCTGGAACAGCACAGGAATCTGCCATCTGGGCAGGAAGGAGAGACTCCTGAGAGCGCGTTTCACTTCAACATATTAAAGCTAAAGTAAAATAAGGGGATGTAAATACTGTTAAAACAGGACATTTAAGAGATGTTATAAAGAGAGCATCAAAACTGCTAAAACATAATTAAAAATGAAGGTCACACTTTATTTTAAGGTCCAGCTCTCACTATTAACTATGACTTTTGCCTCAGTAAACTTTTTAAAATGAATAAACTAATTAAAAAACTAAATAAACTAATAAATAAACTCAAACGATTTTTTTCTGCTAGTTAGTAAGGTAGTTGTTACGTTTAGGTATGTGGTAGGATTAAGGGATTTAAAATATGGTGGTCATACAAAATATGGCATTAATATGTACTTTATAAGTACTAATTAACAGCCAATATGCTAGTAATATGCATGCTAGTTACAAATGTATTTCTTAAATACTGATTTCATTTGATTGGTAACTTATTCTACTTCTTATTCTACTTGTTTTTATTAGAAATGTTAAAAAGCTTATAAATATATTTTTTTGATTTTGACATAAAAGATGACATGCTTTTAATAAAGTTAGAAAAATGCCATTACAAAGGTAAAAACTAAATTCCCTATAAATCACTTTAAGGAGTCAACTATCACCTTGTAATGGGAAGGTTATTTTTTTTATCAGAATTTTTTGATTACTGATTAGAAGGTGCTCCTAAATTTTTGACCGTGCTCCTAAGTTTTTTAAATTAGGAGCACAAGCGCTCCTAAAAAGAAAAGTATCCGTAGAGCCCTGTTATGTGCTAACTTTCCTTTACAGTGGGGCACTGTGACCTCATGCTGGCTTTACCTTTACCTTTACCTTGTCATCTCGTTTTCATTTCTTACATGCTTTTATAGGTTTATAAATGTTTACATGGCTACAAACTTTGAGCTGCTTTCACAGAAACAAACAAACGCTACAACCAGTCCGTTCTGCTGATGAAAAATGTTCATTTTGTTCAGATAGATCAGCCAGAAAGAATTCTACATCTTTTTTTTGTTTGAATGTTACCATTCCAAAAAATTCTGGGAAGATTTATCTATATATATTCAACAGAGATCTGGTTATAATTGTGAATTAACATCCAAAGATGTTATCTTATATTTTGAATCAAAAAATGCATCTGTCAATTTTATGATGAATCTAATGATTCTATTTGGTAAATTTCATATTCATAAAAGTAAAAGAAATAGTTCTAAACCCTTTATGACTGATTTTCATTTGTATTTTGAGTCTCTCCAATGCATTGATAACAAAAAATGTAGAGATACAATTTTATTCGAGTTGAAGTAACTTGAAAATATGCTGTCTTTTTTTAATTGATTTTTTTTCTTTCTATGTAATGTAAACCCATTCCTTAATTTTTTTTTTATCTTTTTGGATGTCTTGTTAAAGTTGTAAATGTTTCAATGTTATGTCTTTAATGTCTAATAAATAAATAAAAAAAAATAATAAAAAAGTCCGTTCTGCTGACGTTTCCGAGTCAGTCAGAGAGCAGCGCTCTGATTGGTCGAGCCGCCCGTCACTCACAAACTACCCAAGCTGTGAGAGAGACGAGTGCAGGAAAACAAATAGGGCAACAATGCTCTATTGAAAGATACTTGAAAATATGCTGTCTTTTTTTTATTGATTTTTTTTCTTTCTATGTAATGTAAACCCATTCCTTTAATTTTTTTTTTATCTTTTTGGATGTCTTGTTAAAGTTGTAAATGTTTCAATGTTATGTCTTTAATGTCTAATAAATAAATAAAAGAAAATAATAAAAAAGTCCGTTCTGCTGACGTTTCCGAGTCAGTCAGCAGGAATGTCCTACAGGTTAGTCCCAAAGCACATTTTCAACTTATAAGTGAAATTATATCCTGTTGATATCTTGTGAATCCGTTGTGTTTTTTAACATTAGCGAGTTGTCCATTTTAAGGACATCATTGTAGTAGTTGTAGTCCTTAAAACACTGGCATGGAGGCCCCTGACAGTTTATAATTCACCTGTACTTATGCTCAACATCCACCCCAACACTTCTCATCACTTTTCTGGCCTGACACTTATTTAATATCAGTTTCACAAGTCGTCTGGTCATTTAAAGCCAAGTTGAATTCAAGACAAACGGGAGGCAAATATTCTTTCTCAATTTATTAACAAAATGATAAAATAAATAAATACAAATTGATCAAATGCTCCTAATATCAATTTCTTCCCATGTTCCCTACAGTATTGTCAAAACACTGCATACAAAGGACTCATCACAGGCTCAATACAGGAGAGGTAAGAACCAATTGACTCACTCACAATGTCAGGCGAACAAACGAGGAGAAAAAAAGACCGGGGGGGAGAGAGAGAGAGAGCTCTGTAACAGAAAAAAGTCAAAAAATAAACACACTCCTTTTTAAAATCATTATGAAAAAATACAAACAATTTTACAAATATTCATATTGTGTAATAAACCATTTACACTTAGTTCAGCACACCAGGTGAACTTTTTTTTTTTTTTTAAATAACTCATGTCGCTACAATGTATCCTGTTGTGTTTCATCAAGTGGAAGAATTAATTTTTTTATAATTTTTATTTTTTTGCACGCGTAAACAAAAATGTTTTCCAATTATAGACAGCTGACTGTAGATGAGGTAACGCTCTCTCTCACACACACACACACACACACCTGCCCAAACAAACACACGCTCACACAGTGCACAACACTATAGGAAAGTCACGACAACAAATGAAATGCATCAACAGTACGAGAAGGCCACAATAATGACTGAGTAAATAGTATGAAAAGTGAACAGAAACTACATTGAAACTACAATGACTTCATTGTCACTGTGGAATTATAACGCACCATAAAGAATATGGATGATCTACACACTATTAAGATCAAGGTGACAGGATGAACAGCTGGAATGGGTCTGAAAATGTTTCAATTTTATGCATAAAATGTACACCGCAAACTTTCGCCTTTTAAAAGTTCTAAAACCAAAATTGCAAAGCCATACAGACAATTTAGAAAGCTGACGGAAAGCGTTTCCCACACGTCGGAGCTGTAAGCTAAAGCAGAAATCAATCTTGAAAAGAAAAAAAAAAAAGTTCAATGATATGTATCTCGAATGCATATAAAAAGGTTTCCTAACAGCAAAATGTTTGCAGTCTCTTTGGGTATACTGACTTATGAATTTGAATGCGTGGCTTTCAGAAGTTCCCTCCCCTTCCTTCTAAAGGCCCCACCCACAAAATTACATACACTCTGCAAGATAAGCCATGTAAGACCATAAATATCTTCTCACAACCACTGGTAACCCCCTCCCACCCCAAGATAACAATAACATTCAACATGGGTGTGCTAGCAAAGGCAGACTTGAATGAAAAATAACGGTCCATGAGATTCATACACAGCCGAAACGCCACATTTCCATGTTCCAAAGAGCCCAGAATTGTGGCCAGCAAATAATTCCCTTCTGTAACTGTACATGAATTTTCTATTTTCTACAGATGCCATTGTGAAAGTGTCTATTGTTCATAATTTAAACAAAAACAACAAAAAATGTACATATGTATACTGTTTCATTTTGGCATCAACTTCGCCAGACATGTAAAAAGGAAAGTGACACAAAGTTCACATAAAAATCTTTACAAAATAAACTCAAAACTAAATGCATATTAAAAAAGTCTGACAAAACTTATATAAAAATTTTGCATAAGAAGGCATGCTTTTTGTTGAACTGATTGGACAGGTTGGTGTTCTGGGTGTTGAGTCTATCCAATCAGATTGCAGGTTTTCTTTGATCCGTTCAGCCTAGCTAATAGTCAAGGCCGAAATCTAAATACCTGATTCAGGTACAAGTTCAATACGCTAACTCAGTGACTTAAGGAGAGATGAAGGAAATGAAGCGAATAAGAAAGGGTGCAAGTCGTTTAAGAGCAGAGTGTTATGTATGACATTAAGTAGTAGTCACTGGCCTGAACAGTCCTGTTTTGTGATACACGAGAAAAAAAATCTCCTGAATCACACACTAAAAAAAGAACTTAAATCGAGCAGACACTTAAGTATTTTGAGGGAAAAAAGTAATACTTAGGACATTCCTATAAAAAGTGCATAAAGACAGGAAACCATGACTTCCTAAACTTCCAGAACTTTTTTCCCAATGGATGTCAATCCAAAAAATTCATTTTTTTGCCACAATTTTCACACACTTAATATTTTGGTGGTACAGAGTGCTCCGATAAACCAATTAATTAATTTAAAACACATAATGAACCACTCCTTTTTTCTTTTTACAGACCAATTTTGTGCAATCACTAAGATATACTTTTGTTCAGAGTATTAAAAAACTCAAGGCAACTCCTTACCTCCTTAAAATATAGCCTACTCTAAAGGGGCTCTTTAACTTCACAGCAGATAACTAGATTTAGTAAAGACAGACAGGACTAGACCAACACAAGCACATCACTACAACAACTTCACTTTAACCGAATGGAATTACAACAAATGTGCTTCTAATCAAAGTTAACTGAGTGATGTTTTACAGAGAGAGGGAAATATGACCAGTTTATGAGATTAAATTCAGTATGTAAAAGGTTGAAGGCACTCTGGGCACCTGTACAGGAAGGATTAAAAGTAGTTTTCTTTAAATATTCTCTAGACTGACAATGGTGACTTCTGGAAGGCCTTAAATTCATGTTGGTAGGTTATGCCACAATAATGGTTGCCATGATATGAATGTTCATCTATTATTACCCAGTTCTGGCTCAAAGGGTAACAGGGCATTATGGGAATGTATTAAAGGGTTAGTTCACCCAAAAATGAAAATTCTGTCATTAATTACTCACCCTCATGTTGTTTCAAACCCGTAAGACCTTCGTTCATCTTCGGAACACAAATGAAGATATTTTTGATGGAATCTGAGAGCTGTCTGACCCTGCATAGACAGCAATACAACTGAAATGTTCCCAAGTCCAGAAACATAGCAAGGAGATCTGTAAAATAATCCATGAGACATCAGGAGTTCAACAGTAATTTTACGAAGCTACGAGAATACTTTTTGTACGCAAAAGAAAAAAAATATATAATTTGTCTCCTCCACCCAGTAGCGCCATTTTGGAGAGTATCATGTCAGCTGCGTCACGCCGGTTCTCCAAAATGGTGCCAGGGTGACACGGAGGAGACGAATTACTGAATAAAGTTTTTTTTTTCTTTTGTGCACAAAAATTATTCTCGTAGCTTCGTAAAATTACGGTTGAACCCCTGATGTCATATGGATTATTTTACAGATCTCCCTGCTGCGTTTCTGGACTTGGTAATATTTCAGTTGTGTTGCTGTCTATGCAGGATCAGACAGCTCGCAGATTCCATCAAAAATATCCTCATTTGTGTTCCGAAGATGAACAAAGGTCTTACGGGTTTGAAACAACATGAGGGTGAGTAATTAATGACAGAATTTTCATTTTTGGGTGAACTATCCCTTTAAGGATAGGTATGTACATTTTCACAGTAGATTGCGAGAAATTGCAGCACACTGTTGATATAACCAAGACCACATCTACTAAGAATTACAAATTGGGTTTTAAAGCTATGAAATCCTGACTAATCAAGATAAATCCATCATTAAAAAAAAAACAAAAAAAAAAAACAGTAAACATCATCCCAAAAACAAAATCTATATTGTGGTAGGTTATCTCTCATGTTTAAACAGCCAGAATGAGCAAAGCATCGTCCTTTTGAAACCCCCAATGTACTATTGCATACATATAGTCAAAATAAGCACTTACAAAGACGTCCTAAATGGATATGTGGAATTTGATACGAGTAAATTATTCAATCCTAGCCTGAGTGGCTGTCATTACAAAGCTAAAAGGAATATGCTTTTTTTTGGAATAGCCTGACATTAACGTAACAAAAGTGCCAGCTGTGCATTACTGTTAAGACTATTAAGACTTAAGATGTTACCTGGGACAGCTTAAGATACTATGCAACACAAATAAAAGCCAGCAAAAACCAGCAGAAGGCTGTCATAAACAGTGCTTCCCACTTTGTACGCAAGCAACTGGCTGTTGTTTTCCTTTTTTTCAGGATATGTTGGCAAGCGTAAAAACCAACAGATAAGATTTAAGCGCTTTTGAAAATTTTGCTCAGAAAGTCTCTAAAGGGGTTTTTAGTGCGTTTGCTTAAGTTATCTGCAATAAAGCTTGTGCTTTAATTAAGGGTTTTCTGTAGTTTCCTTATTACTCAATTTGGCTCATACATCAAACCCTCAAGTTTAAGACAGCAAATTGTGATAGTCATTATTGTTTTTTGAAGGAAAAAAAAAGATTTTGGAAAAATGGGGATGGGACTAGTCCATTATATTCTAGACTAATCACACAGTAAGAGGATATTTCCATTATTTTCAATTTAACAAAAAAAATAATAATTTGGCAGTTCGGAATTCTAATAAAAACAGACACTCGTTATGCAATGTGCATCTCTTGAGATTGAGAAAGCCGATTGCATAATTCATGCCATTTTAAACACCATTGATAACAAATGACTGTTTCATGAAACAGAAAAGCACTTATTTTTCAATGAAGACTAGGAAGACCTGAACACACACTGACTTTAGAACGAGACTCATTCAGTACACAGAACCAACACCGTTTTTCAGACTAATCTATCACGCATGATTTGTTGCAGTTACCGAGATGTGACTTCTGGTGTAGCTTCCTCTTCCAGCCCTTTGTCAAAGATCTTGAGAGGCTTTGCCATGCGCTCTACCACTGATTAGCCTGAGATGACATGGAGACGGGACACTTCTACAGCTAACTGGGAAATGCAGACAAGATGTAGACTGGAGGAGAGAAATTAGAGGGGTTTCTATAGGCAGTCCTGATTTAGTCTAACCCACACCAACAACAGGATTCTAAACCTCTGCCTTGCCACTGGCGAATACTGATGCGTTGATTTCTTTTGTCATGTTTGGAAAGAGAAGCTTTTGGTATTGCCGGTCCACTCTGGCTGGAGGTGCACAGGGTGTGGGCTTAGTCATGCAGTCATTGGACACTTCTGCCCTGCCTTTCTCCTCTCGAGGAGAAGACAACTAAGACAACCTATGAAACAAACCCCATGTTGGAGGCACACACTGGTCTGATCTGATAAATCATCCATCATCTTTATCACCATCATAATTATAATAATAATTATTATTAATATTATTAAACTACTATTTTTGTTTTTTTAATAATCTAATAATTGGCATGACACTCTTTTGTAAATCACCCTTTTCACCCACAAGTTTGGGCTCTATTAGTCTACAAGAACCAAGACTAGTTTGCCTGGGATGTAGAAGTACTGTTGACACAGTTTTACCAATAAAAAAAAGAAAGTAAAGGGAAAAGAAATAAAATTAAAAAAACGACAACATTTATTTGGATATATGTATAGATTGGCAACTGTGTGCACCAGTCCAAGGTGCAATAGGAAATCTGTTTAAATGTTTTGGTGATGTGTGTTTAGTGTGAGACTGAGAACTATTTGGGGTTATCCACGCTGCTTAGAGGGGCTGGCAAAGCCTGCTGAGAAGGTTCTGAGGTTTTGCCGTTGTTGGTGTTCACGCCATGACTTCCATCTTCCTGCAGCTCTACTTCCATCTTCCCAGCATCCGCTACACAACTGCTGTCATTGGGAGGGATGTTCTCAGAGTCCGCCGAGTCTGCGGCATCGACAACACCCTTCTCTTCTTCTGGGTTCAAGCCGGTACAAACACAGTCCATTCCTCCATTAGTCTTTACCTCCCTGGCCTGAGGCGATTCCACAGGCTCCGCCATTTTTGCTGTATCTATCATCTCCTCGCCAACTGTGGTTTTGGGAACTTCCGGGACACTAACTCCCGATTCACCTGACGCAGCCTCAGGCGTGACTGCGGCCGCTGGCTCTGCCATTTCGCCCACCTCTGGCTCTGCCTTCACTTCGGGAACTGCTACGGCGACTGGTACTTGCACGCTAGGCTCGGTGGGACTCTCCTGCACACACATTTGTGTAGCATCCTTTGAGTCTTTGATGCTCCCTAACTCTGTGAAGTCCTGTTTAGAATCCTGTAGGATGTCCGTCTCCATGGGCTGAATCAAGTTAAAGCTCTGGATGAGGCAGACCAGGTGTTTTACCTTGTCCAGAGAGACCTGCATCTCCTTCTGACGGGCAAGTATGCTGTTCTTGGTCTCCATGCATTTCTGTTGAATAAAAGGAATACAGCATTATATAACAAACACAACTTGTTAAAAAATTACATTAACATTAGGAATACAACTAACAGTCATTAAATAGAAAAGAAGAAATACCAAGTTCTGTCATGAAACCCTAGATGGCTCAGGCTGATGGGTCCTTAACGTAAATGATGATATTCTTAGCATTAAATGACTTGTCACAAGCTGATTGATTCATGTTGCATATGCAGCCAATGAGCTTGGTGCTTTATATTTAAATGGCTGATTAGCATTCACTTGAGCATTGCAGTGCGCTTTCAGAGTTTCTCTGAAACCCTCCACCTTCCCCAGCTTCACCTGTATAGATCTGCTATGGGTTATTTTATGCTATTTGTGCAGCAGCAGTATGTCTTAAATACTCACAGCACCATATCGGCTTATGTATTGGCAGTAGCAAGTTCCTGTACTTTCTAGCAGCAGCAGCAATAATCTCCTAATACAGCTATAACCAACAGCAGCAGCAATTCAGCAGCAGCGTAGCAGATCTATTCCGCCAAGACCAAATACATTAACACTGTCATATCCATTACCATGCTAAAATCTTCAGAGAGTTCTCATGATAGAACTACGTATACAGTGTGACAAGCCATATTGAATATTTGCAAAGCTGAATGTTCATCTTAAAATTGGTTTTCTGAGGCAAACATCCCTTCACGGAGCAATTGTATAATTAATCTTGTATCCGGAAAAGCTCCAGTTAAAGAGAAAAATAAATAAATAACTCACTGTTATAGAGTTGCTGAGCTGTTTCACTCTCTGTTCTAGTTGCTCTCGTTCCAGCTTTAGTTCGGCACTCCATTTCATTAACTTCTGCTTCTCTTCTTCTTTCGCTGTTGGACAGGGACAAAACACCCATACATTGAATGGGCTATAACATAGATGTATGCATTTGGTTTTAAATAATGGTAACACTTTATATTAAGGACCAAATTTTAGCTATTGATTAGTTGCTTATTAGCATGCATATTACTAGCATATTGGCTGTTTATTAGTACTTATAAAGCACATATTAATGCCTTATTCTGCATGACCATATTTTAGATCCCATACCTAAACTTAACATCAACCTTACTAACTATTAATAAGCAGCAAATTAGGAGTTTGTTCAGGGAAACACCTTCATTAATAGTGAATGTGTTCCCTATTCTAAAGTGTTACCTAAATAATAAATAACTTTTTTAAGAGTTAAACTGTAAAATTGGGGTACAAAATTCTACAATTGAAAATCTAAATATCTCTACCTTCTTTGTAAGCAATGTAGGAATGGACGATTGCTAGGGTTCCTGGCCATGGAATGGCCTCTTCCTTCCTCAGAATCTGTAAGAGAAATTCTCTCAATAACAGACCAGTGCTGTGCTCATTTGACCTCTGGAAAGCCATGAAAGAAACTGAGATCAATTGTATATGGCAACAGTGATGAACAACAGAACTTCAATGGGAGTGCTTGATGTTGTCTTACACTTACATGATGGGTGGAAAAAAGGCACAATCAATACCAAACCATGTGAGAGCTTACAAAGGATGAAACAGCCTTAATGCCTGAAGAAACTCATTTTGTGTAAGGGGAGACAAACATACACTTTGTGTACATTTTTGGCACGGAAAGGGGAGTTTGATCTCTCAGTCAGTCTTCCATTTCTAATTATATAAAAGTGTGTGTGCTTTAAAGGACTGAATTCCAGTTAAAAGGAGACATCACTGACTGGCCTGGGAAAGGAGTGGCCAAGGGCTCGTTGTGCTGCTATTATTTACCTGGTCTTGACATTTAGGACAGATCCACATGCCTTTGGGAATGTTTTTGAGGGGTGGGTCCAAGCAGTCGAGGTGGTAGACGCGCGAACATGTGTCACACATGAGCAACTGTCCACTGCGTCTGCACACAGTGCAGAAATCCTCATGGATGTCTCCCTGTCGGGAAGAACGGCAGGTGTCAGTACCACCGCCCCCTTCTGTTCCGGACCAATCAAATGACAGCGGGAAAGGCGGGGAGGAGAGGAACTGACTGCTAATTGGAGGTATTTGTCTAGTGGCTCACTGGTGACTGGATTGTTCACTTAGACAGGGAACTGGATATTTAGCTCGTAGTTTTATCACTACTACTATTATTGGGATTATTGGAAATTAATCACTATTGAAAATGTATCATGTGATTATGAGTAATGGGTATTTTGGCTTAAATGCTAAGATATGGTGTAAGGATTTTTAAAATACTATACTGTAATTACTTCAGGCCTGATATTTGTGTGGGAAGTAGAGAAAGACTGTTCACTTTGTAAGACTGCTGGCTCCATTTCAACAAATACAACAAATAAACACATGAATGACAGTGCTGGTAGGTCAGTCTTTCTCTTTCCAGGTTGGATGCGGGACTCTAACAGGAGATACCTTGCTCCGGTACACTTTGAGGTGTACAGGATGAATGCAGTGAAGGGTTTTGGGGGGTAGGGGCAGGGGCAGCCTGTGGTGTAGAGAACTCTACTAGAACAATAATAATTGTGGGGGCTTTCAACAACATGGTCACCCAGACTTGGCAGGTGGCTACTTACATCCCCGGAGCTGGGGCTGGGCTGGGGGACAGAATGAGGGTGGACAGAGAGGGGAAAGGCCCCCGTGTCAGGCCGCTCAGGGGCTGGGGAGGCGGGAAGGCTGCTGGTGGGGGAGAGCAGGGGGTTGCAGCCCAGCTCCGGCACCGCTGTGCTGCTGGTGGTGGTGCTGTATTTGGGAGGGCGACCTGAGTGAAATGAGACAGACAAGAAAAGAAAAACAAACAAAAAAAGAACAAAACCAAAAGGAACAGAAAAAAATGGAGGAGGAGGAAAAGGGGAAAAGAAAGAAAAAAAACACAAAGATGAAATAAAATAATGGCATCTTCTGGTTGCAACATACCTTAGAGAGGGGATCCTCATTGGCTAGCATGGAAACAAAGGAAAGGAGGGAGAGAGCAAAGGAGAAATGGAAGGGAGGGTCACAAAAAGCAATTAGTGCAACAGACGACCACAGCAGCATGCAGGGAATTTGAAAAGTAATGAGCAATAGAAAGAGCGAAAGAAAGAGTGAAAAAAGCTTAAGAGAGAAAGTCTAAGCTGAGATCTCAAATCTCAATACATTTCTCAATGCAAACTAGGGCTGCACGATAAATCGCATGCGATATTTAATGCGCATCTTATCAATAAAGCCGGTTCTGTAATCAGCAGTAAATCTCCATCACCTGCGGGCTTTCACATTGAGCAGTATTAACTACACAGAGCCGTTGTTCACTGACGAGCTGCGCAAAAAATCGCGCGAATATGAACGTGGTTTTGCGCAGCTCGTCAGTGAACAACGGCTTTTTATCGTGCAGCCCTAATGCAAACTCAACCAACTCAAGCCAATGCTCAAGTCCTAGTCAGGTCTTTCAAGAATAAAATCGGAAGGGCAAGTTGCATAAACAGTCACCACGTTAAGACTGTGTCTTAAGAACTAGATTGACCAACTAGCAGTTAACCAAGTGGTTATCAGTCTTACTTTTCAGATTCAAATTAGACCAATCTTAAGTTTTTATGTAACTGACTTGCAGAAGAAAAAAAATAGGTGTCTAAATTAAGAAGACTAGTCTAAACAGTTTATGCAACCGTCCACAAGTCAACCCTCAAGTCTGAGGTGGAGTTCATATCAAGTCTTTCAAGGCCAAGCTCAAGTCAATCCCCAAGTCTTTGTAGTGAAGACCAAGTCAAGTTTTTCAAAGCCAAGCTTAAGAAACTGCTTAAGTCTTTAGGGTGAAGATCAAGTCAAGTCTTTAAAGGCCAAATCTATCTAAATTCATTATGTTGAAGCACTGCTCTAGAATTCAACAGCAAACAACAAGATATTTGCAAAGAAAAATTATTGCAAAGAGCACACAAGAGACTCAAATCTGAAGTGAAGCAACAATGAGAGGATATATTTCTCCCTGTAAGCCTACTGACTCTACTTGACATTGTTCACAAGTCTCTGATTTTGGAGTCTCAAGTCAAATGCTAACATGTCCAAAACAAGTCAAATTCTCCATCACTGAAAACTACACAAACTGGGGGAGCAGTTCCTCAACCACCACTTTTATAGGCCAATTTTTAGGTCTACTGAAACACTGTAGGTCTGCAGAGAGATCAAACCCTAGCAAAGACACAAAGCAGAATTGCAAGAGAAAGCAGAAAGGTGTCTGTTAGGTGGTACATAGAAGCAGCAGGGCTACAATACATCAACTTAAGCAACTAAGACAGGCAGGTACAGACCTCTCTTCCTGGTGCCTTGATGCAGTGGAGTGTTCAAGTAAGTGACGGCACTCTTTTTCCTCTGAGATGTATGAGAGAAATCAGAATGTTAGAGCTGAGTTGTGGAAGTACAATCTAAGCTCTCAAAATCAGACCAGAAGGAGGAGAGTACTACAGAACATTCGTCTGTACCTCAGGTTCAAACACTGCTCCACTGTACACTGGGTTGGCTGTTGTTCTCCTCTTACGTTCTTGTCTTCTGCTCTGAATCTCTGGAGAGAAAGGACATCCCATGCACATCTGGTTACAAAACAACCTGTGCTTATAACTTTAATTTTGTGGAAACCCTCAGTGCAGCATTGACACCAGTGGGACGACTTACCTTCAAGATGGTCATGTGTCACCAACCCAAGAGACACCATAAAGGCAAGCTTCTGAAGGAAGAAAATGTAACAATTTATTATTTAGGATTCAGACAAAATTTGTCAGAAATTATGGTTTTGTTACTTCTGTGAAGGTGCACAGTACCTGTGGGCTCTCCTCACGTCTGACTTTAGCTGGAGGAGAGGATGAGGGTGGTGTACTCGTGACCACCTGTTCTGGTCCTCCCTGTGGTTTCACAGTCTGATGTAGAGAACAACAAACAAGGAAAGCACTTCAGTCAGCTGAATGTTTGATTCTTAGAGCAAGAACAACAGCTAAAAACTTGTGTCTGGAGCAAACATTCAAGCTAATATAAATGGGTGCTCGCACCTTCAAGTCTGAGTTAAGGTTGCTGATCTGAAGTGTCTGGGCAGGACTGATGACAATGCCTGTGACTTGCGTGGTGCCACTCGTGAATGCAGTCGTGGTCTTGTCAATGGTGGCGCACTGTTGTCCGTTCACGATGTGGACCTGATGAATGGGCCCAGCAGAGGCAGGCAGAGATGACATCAGCTTGGTGGTGAGCATCAGGGGCCGCTGGATTAGAGGAGCCGCGACCATGGGAGGAGGAGCTGGAGCGATGGGCACATTGATGGGCGTGGGGGGTTTTGGTCGAACCTGTGCAATGGTGGAATGGAGTTGGGTCAGAAAGCAAACCCTGGCTTGCCATACCAATCGATCATGAAAGCCACTCTGTTGCCATGCCCCTAACATCCATGCTGTTTTGTGTTAAGTGGCAATCTCAGCCGTAAGTAATGCCAACACTGAGCTCTGGTTCACCCCTCAGTGACTAGTTTAAAAGTGGATGAAAATGTGTGCAGAGCTCAATTTAGGAACACCATAACAAACCAGGAGCAGGAGTGGGCAACTCTGGCCCTCAGTGTCCACTTTCCTGCAGAGTTTAGCTCCAATCCTGATCAAACTCACCTGCCTGTAACTTTTTAGTAATCCTAAAGAGTTAAAGACCTTGATTAGCTTGTTCAGGATTGGGATTGGACCTAAGGTCTGCAGAACAGTATACTTTAAGGGCCAGAGATATCAACCCCTGCCATAAAGACATAGTTCACCCCCAAATTAGGTCATCATTTACTCACCCTTATGTCATTCCAAACATGTATGATTTTCTTCCGCAGAACACAAAAGAATACATTTTGAAGAATGTTTCAATTGTTTTTGTCTGTATAATAAGTCAATGCGTCAATACAACATTGGACCTCTCTGACATTTTTTGGATGGACTTTTTAAAACAGTGAGTATCCTCTTTTGTGTTGCACAGAAAAAAGTAAGTCATACAGGTTTGAAACAACATAAGAGTAAGTAAATGATGAGTTAAGGTGGATTCATCTCACTTTAGCATTACGTAGCTTTTTGAGGTAAAAGGTGATATACTGTCAGTCTTTAAGGGAGTGGGGGATTAATTATAGGGTCAGCCAAAGCAAATATCAAAAGAACAAAAGCAGACATAAAAAGCTGCAACTGAAGCAACAGCATTGTTACAAAGGAACAAACAGCAACACGCTGTCTTACTCTCAAACACCGTGTCTACACCAGGCATAAGCAACGTACATACAGTAATAATATACCAATTTTCATACCAGTGGACCTCTGCTGAGTTATTCACCCAAATGTTAATACAACTGTTGTTGAACGAGTCATGCAGCTTGGACACTTTCAGTGTAGAAAGACTCAAGCCAGTATTGTGTGGTGGCCCTTATGGGTCACTTCCAGTATAGACACGGTGCTAAGGGAGCTTACTCACTAGATAAAGCTGTGACAGAGCATTTTTAACGGATAGGAATGCATTTAGAGAGTATGGACAGAAGCGGGCCTTTGAAATAGAGCAGTACTACCGTGGACTGAATTTTCACTGGTCAACAAATGCCTAGGTCAGCGTGCAGTGCAAAAGTTATACATTTTCTTTAGGTTGCATGACTGAGCGTCATTTTCACAAACCTTTGTTTTTTTACATACTGCTTTTTTTTAAAGGGGTCATATGATGCGATTTCGTGTGTGTGTTTGTGTTCTGTGTGTTTCGTTGTGAAAGCGAAACTACTTTGTTTGGCCTTCCAAAAGAGGACAATATCTGCTTCGTCATGCCTAGAGCTGATCCCTGCTGGTCGCTGAGGAAATACATCAACTTCGCGCTGTGGATCACCGGATCGGCTTTCACCGTGGATGAAGCGGAGTCCAGCCCGGGGTCGTCACATGTGGTTGCCGCAAGCCCGCCAGCCACTCCTTCGTCGAATCCACCGGCCACGCCGTTCTCAAGCCCGCCCGCCTCTGCTCACTCAAGCTGGCCTCCGCTCACTCTAGCCTGCCTCCGCTCACTCTAGCCCGCCGTGTGAAACTACTTTGTTTGGCCTTCCAAAAGAGGACATGACTAGAAATCAGTGGTTAAGTTGTATTTACAACACTGTTCCAGAACAGTTCATCCCAAATATTCAGATGTGTGCAGCACATTTTATGGAGGACTGTTTCCTGATCCTGGTAGAGTAGACTACAATGCCGGCTGTTCTGACTCACAGACTGTAAGTACGTTTTAATTTAAAGGATTTGCCACTGATGATTCAAACGCGAGTTTTGAGCAGTGTAGAGTAGCGCTTGTTGTTGGTCATTTCTCCGATCACAAATGCAGACATGGTTTTATATTTACGCGGGAAAAAAAAGACAGAATAAGTCATTATAATCCGTAATTATGTCCCCACTGGATGCAACAAATGCCTCGTTTATAATGGGTTTTAATGTTTTTGTCTCGTCGCTCCGGCCGGACAGGGCATCACAATATGGTAAGGGGCGTAACATTTCCGTCACACGCTTGAGGTATTTAGCCAATCAAAACGCACTAGATAGCTGGCCAATCAGAGCACACCTCACTTTTCATACCGATGAGCTTTGCAAAAATTGACGCGTTTCAGAAAGGCGGGGCATAGAGGAGAAACAATAATGTACTGTATGTGGAAAATAATGTGTTTTTTTAACCTTAAACCACAAACATTTCATTACACCAAATACACAAAATAATGTTCTTTTTAGCAACATCATATGACCCCTTTAACAATAATCAACAGACTTGTAGCATTCTCTAACAGAGCATACAATCTAGTGTGTAAGCACCCTAAAGCAAAGAGAAAAAAAAATGTGAGCAGACAGTATCACAGCAACAGCCAGTGCTGGGAAGGAGAAGGTGAGTGTCAGTTTTATTGAGGAAAAAATTGGGGTCTCTAGGTGTGGAACAGTGATATCTTGAAGTTTGGGTGACTGTTCGAACAATTTTAGTTCCCATGTTGAAAACTCTTTCAAGGCGAGAAGTTTAAAAATATCTTGAATCAGAATGTCTCTGTAAACAAAGGCTTTACAGACACAAGGCCTCTGAAACTAGGTTGTGTGTCCCTCTGGGGGCGTCAGTGTGGAACAGCACATACATAAGGGGAGGGGGCAGGTCTAACAGAGACGCACCTGTGGCTGAAAGGTGGGTCGAGGCGTCAATCTAGGAGGAGGGACAAACTGGGGAACTCTGATAGGCTGGGCAGAGGTGGTGGTGGCCTGCACCTGTGACAAAACCAGCCGTTTATTGGGCACTCAGCAGGTGACATGACAGAAATTCACAAAACTGTCTGATTTTAGAGGAAACTATCCCCTATTTGGGTACATCACAGAAGTATGTCACCATACACCCCTGCCAAGCACTTCATTGTCAGAAAGGAAGTCATTTCAAATCTTCATACTAACTGGAGACATAAACATCCTGTTCTAAACACATCAAAGCAAATATGACTAGTCTACAGCAAACTATGCAAAAACACAGACTGGCATTTCTACCTTAATTTAAAATAGTTATATTTAAGCTATATGGAAACACTAAGTGAAGAGGAAGAATTTTTAGCAGCAATTCACACTCACGACGATAACATTCTTGGACACAATCCGTGTGCCCGCATCTGTATCCTGATTGGGTAGCTTGCTGGCCACCTGAAGGTTGATTGGTGTGCTCTGGGAGTCGGAATTGGCGCCGGGTCTCGGGGGGTTGCTGATGGCAGTGACCATGGCGACTGTAGGGCGTTGTGTTGTCATGGAAGCAGGCATGGTGGAGGTGGCAGCTTTCAGCACGAGAGGTAGAGTCTTTGCAGTTATGACCGGTGTCACGGTGAGAGTCTTCTAGTCAAGGAGGTAGGTTGGTTGAAGGAAGCAGTGAATGAGGATGAGGAGACATAAAAGATGTTAAAGTGCTATTGACTACATTTTTCTGCTGTTATTGTGTACAAATTATCAGTACATGTGAGAAAAAAATGGCCTGTCCTTGCGTTTCATCAAAATGTATTAACTTGAAATGACTTTTCTTTTCCATTGATGTTAGAGAGCTAGAGAGCAAGTGTTATTAGTTAATGTTAACCAATCACCAATTAGCTGTTGAGCCACTGATTTAACGAAGCTGCATTGCAGGTCTGGCTCTATTCTGGTATGCAACACCCAAATGCCATCAATTTTATTAATATTAAGTAATAAATAATATTGATAAAATATAGTCCAACCATATTATTATTTCTTGTTGAATAGTTGAACTTAGAAATGCACTACATTACAGAAATAAATATCAAAATAATATTAATAAAATTAATTTAATCCTACTCCTCAATTTCTTAGAAATATGCCACATCACAAAAACAAAAAAGGTTGCAAATGCCACTTTGTGTGGATTTTAATTATATTCATAGTTCAACAGTTTATAAATGGCCATATTTAAGAAATAACACCCTTATAAGATTCTAAGGTCACTCTGCCCTTATTTTTCACAAACTCAAAGCTTTGTGTGTTTGCAATTACAGAGTGTGCCTTTAGAATAGAGCACCGCGTATGAGTCGGCAATTGTTTTTCAATAAAGATTTTGTGTAAACTAGCTAATCTGCAAATTTTTTGCTGCGCTAGAGGAATCGAATTCATGTCTTCAGTGTTAAATAAATATTCCACTGCAAATCACCTCTGAGTTCTACACATTTTGTCTACAAATTGTGTGGTCGGGGAGTGAAGCGGTACCTGTGGCGCCCCCTGGTTGTGTGGAGGCCCTGTGGGCAGCTGTGAAGGGGGACAGGCCGGCGTCAGCAGCACGGTTTTACCATCTGCGGTCGCTGGGAGTGTCTGCAGCTTCAAGTCAGGCTCCTGTTTCACCAGCAACTCCTTCCTCAACTGCTCCACCACTTTTTTCTGAGAGAGAGAGAGAGAGAGGGAGAGAGAAATTACTGGGAAATCATACATCCAATCGCTGTCACATTTTGAGGAAATGGTGATTACAGAGAAACAAATTGTTCTGAACACACACATATGCAGTTTTTCCAAGAAATAAAAATGGAAAGACCGCCCAATGTTGTGTTTATATCTGGTCACAGCGGTATCTAATAATAGATCATTAGTCACTGAATTCCCTGGTTTTCTTTGTTCTGGGTGTGAAGCTAAGCCATGGCTTTTATTCAGTCAGTCTTAAAAGACCCTTCAGGTGCAAGACCATCTTAACAACATTGGAAATGCTTTTATAAAGGCCCACTGAGCGCTACACACACACACGCCAAGAAAAACGCGATTGAAATTCATCTCACACACTCTGCTGCCTCAGAGTCCTCTGGAGCCAAAGCGCACCTCTGAGAGTGCAACCACACACACATTCCTCAACAAAGCCCTTGCGCTAAGCACAACATCAAATGAAAGTCTCTTCCTCAAAATGAATTTTGATAAAACTATTTTTCTCTTTAAGCGGACGATCAATCACATAGTAGCGGCTTTAGACTCACAAGCAGAAAGTTTATATACGCAACAGACCGCCGTGCCAGCTGCGGGCCTCACATCGAGGCTAAAAATCACATAAATATAAATTCATGATGCGGAAAGAGTTATACAGAATTCATATGAATGGAACTGAGATTCAAAGGCAGACAAACTGTATTCACAGCCGACAGGATTGAAAAAGAATCTGAGGAAGCATCAACCTTTCAACCTGACAGAATTCACTCACAGACACGTGTCTTATGGAAAAATCTAATGAATCTTATGAAAACATGTGAAGGTCATGTTTTATTCCAAATTCAAATAGAATACAAAAATAAAAATATAGATTTATTTTTAGAACTATTATTTGTTGCATAGTGACATTATTTTCATTGCATTGTGACACTGTTTGACAATTAATAAAAAATAAATAAAATACCAGTGTTATTTTTTTAATGAATATTAAAAAGAATTAACTTTTTTTTACTCATATTTTGATTCAGTTTTATTTTTATATTTAGGTTTAGTTAAATTTTAAATCATTTTATTGTGCTTTTGTAATTTTGCTTTGGCAACTTGCTGAAATAGGTTTTAAAATTTTATTTTTTATATTTCATTTAAGTTAATGTTTATTTGTTTTTATAATGTTACTTTTAGTTTCAGTTTTAGTTAACTATGATAACTCTGTGACTCTTTTTTTTTTTAGCATAAACTAAATACATAACATAAATATATTTTGCTTGAAAAAAATACAGTGTGGCTCCAAAAGTCTGAGACTGAATTAAATCTTTTAAATATAACGGTTATATAAGAATTTAAGTTGTAACTAAATGTATATATTTATTAAATTATAACACATTATATTATATATACACATTATAAGGTGAACTGTAAGCTAGACAGGTTCTTGACAGGTTTCGTGAGAGAACTGAATTAGCATTCACTGGACAGTTTCATCATCTCACGCTCTAATCCTCGTCTGGATTGACTAAGGCTACACACACATACAATATTTGCCCTCCACATTTGAGTAGAGTTTTTAAAAAATCAAATCATGTGTACTTATAGTGATCTATTCTTTCTCTCAGGATAAAAGCTCAAAGCTAAGCCAGCGATCTGCGAGTCAGTAAACTGGGACAATTCTCTAACTGGAGAATTTCAAGAGTAGGAAGAGAGAGAAAAAGTGAAACATTGCCCCAAAACAGCTGTGCTACAAATCCAGACTTTTCAAGAAGCGACTGAATAAGTGCAATCTCTCAAACTCTCTGACAATCTGGAGTGTTTCCACCTCCCAGCAGGAGACGAGACAAGCCCCAACACACACATCAAACGCATGCACATACACACAGCAGGCTGCGTGTATTACTCTTCTGCCACAGTTGTTAAATGCACAGAAGCCTGTTCTGCTGGCTGCTCTTTTCTCAACCGCAAAACAATTAAATGTATCAGTCTTCACTTATATCCGCTGTCATTCTGTCATTAAAAACTACAATTCCCACAAGATCCAACAGCCACTTCAGGAAATCAATAAGACCAATTTGAAGCAAACAAATCAAAAAGTGCTTCATTAAACACAAACTGACCCGGACACAGAAATGTGCTGAAACACGCTGGTGTTTTTGTGGTGTTGCTTGAAAAATTAAATCTGCTTCCACTAGGGTTATTATCTTTTACTAAAACTATTAGAAACATTTTGGAATGAAAATAAATAAAAAGCTGAAATAAAATAGAAATATTAAATGAAAAACAGTGAATTTGAACAGTAGAATCACTAAAATCACTAGCTGGAAATAAATAAACAGTAAAACTAAACTAAAACTGAAAATATATTAAACATCTAAATAATAATGCTCAAAAAGTAGTGCTGTCAAATCGATTAATCGCATCCTTAATTAAAAGTTTTTGTTTACACGATATATGTGTGTGTACAATGTATATTGATATAAAATACACATACACTGTGTATATATATATACACACACACACATTTTTTCATATTATATATATAAATATATATTACATATATTTCTTAAAATTATACACATGTATTTGTGTATATTTATATATACATAAATATACACAGTACACACACATATATTGTGTAAACATAAACTTTTATTTGGGATGCGATTAATCACTATTAATTGATTTTAGCAGATAACAAAACATTTGGAAATATAAATAACAAATAAAAACTATAATACATAAACAATACTAAAACAGCACCGGTTTCAACATTACAAAATCAAACAATCACGTCATTGCTTAAAATCAGAAGTTCATAAATAATCATATTTAACTAAAAACTACATTTCCAATCAACCTCTTTGCCGGCAACAACAGGATAAAATACATGTCATAAACTGTACATTAAATGCATATCCTTTGTACCATTCATTTTGTAGAATTAGTTGATGTCTAAGTATATGAAACAGAGCGAAAGCCTAATGAAGTCATCCAGTGTCTTTTTTTCAACCCCAAATCACACAATCAACCAATGCTCACTGACACATATTTGTAGGCAAACAAGCATTTAATTAATGTGTTTCACTGTTCAAAAACATTCATTTCAGCACCCGAAGCAGTGAATGACTGTGAAAGTTCTTACCTGTTTCTCACTCAGAGCTGTGATTTTCGCTTGGAGCTCGTGAAGTTGTTTCTTCAGATCGGCGTTCTATGAAGAGCAAAGATAAGCGTAAGAATCACTTCTTTTTGAAACCATGAAATTGCTGAACCTTTGTTTAATAAAATATTTATACACACCACCAAGCTGCCTTATTAGTATAGAAAATATAATACCCAGCCGTCAATCATGTTAAAGCTCTCAAACAAACCAGATGATTATTTCAGAAGAGCAACGTCATAAAGAATATTTACCTGTGGATCCTGCTTCATTTGGGCAACAAGTTTCTATGGCAACAGAAAAGAAGACAAGAATTTGCAGTCAAAACTTCTGCCATCAGTTTTGGAGGGAGTTACAGACATGGTGTGCTATCTACAGGCCACATGTGGAACTACAGCCTACTGCACCTGCCTCACACTCAAACAAAAGCAGACTGAGCAGCAGGCAGCCTGCCAACTGCTTTCTGTAAGGGTAACTGTCCTCCAGCTAACAACGGTTTGTAGAGACAACGTTTAATGTGTTAATTTGGAACAAACATTTTACATTTGCAATGAACAAGTGTAATTTATATGAAAAGGGAAGTCGTGGCCTAATGGTTAGAGAGTCGGACTCGTAACCCAAAGGTTCCCGGTTCGAGTCTCGTACCGGCAGGGATTGTAGGTGGGGGGAGTGAATGTACAGTGCTCTCTCCCACCTTCAATACCACGACTGAGGTGCTCTTGAGCAAGGCACCGAACCCCCAACTACTCCCCGGGCGCCGCAGGAAAAAAATGGCTGCCCACTGCTCCGGGTGTGTGTTCACGGTGTGTGTTCACTGCTGTGTGTGTGTGTGTGCACTTTGGATGGGATAAATGCAGAGCACTAATTCCGAGTATGGGTCACCATTCTTTGCCACATGTCACATCACTGCACTTCAAAATTGTGAATTTCAGTTGAGGAGTTGATCCACTTAACATCAATCTTTGATGGACAGATATATTAAAGAAGTGAAAAAGATAGGGGAGAGTGCACTCTCAGAAAAAAAGGTACAAACGCTGTCCCCGGGGCTGTAGCTTTTAGGTACTAATATGTACCTTTAAGGTACCAATATGGACTGTTTAGGTACAAAGGTGTGCCTTTTGAAAAGGTACCGCCCCCAGTTACAGCTTTTGTACCTTTTTTTTTTCTTCTGAGAGTGTGGGGTAAGCTTAAAAAAAAAAGTGTTCTTCCCCTAATAATATTTCAGGATATCTGCTATTAACTGAAATGACCATCTATAACATCAGGTAATATAAATGTCTAACATATATTATAGAGAGAGAGAGAAAATAAACTTAAAAAGTGGTCCCATCCACATTTTCATAAACCAGACCGAAAATGTAGTGAAACAGTATGAGAAGTAAAAGTTACTATCATTATTAGTTGGTCCACTTTTACAATTTTTAATAATGTAATATTGAAAATATAACAAATTAAGCATTTAATAATTCATGATTATTCAAATTTTCTTGATTTTATATATTTGGACAAAAGCATCTGCTAAAGGCATAAATATTAATATTTTAAAACAAATACATCGTTTTAAAATTAAACTCATTTCACCTAAAATGTACAAATTAATTCAAATTAATTTTATAAACGTTTCAAATCTCTCAACCACAAGCAGCTGTACACCCCATGAAATGTCCATAAAAATAAGGCACAATATATTGTGTTAATATGAAGGAATTTTCTGTATAGATTTTTCACAGGTGTTTTTACCCATATTTTGAAGCATTGCGTTGTGTTTTTGGTTCAAGTAAATATCCGTAAACTTAACTAAAAAACAGTACTGGTAATTTTCTGCCAGGACATCCATTTCTCTCCATTTTCTTTTTCTCCTAACAAGGAACATCTACGGTCCTTTCCAAATATACAGCCACATGACAAAAATTGAGAGACACCCTTTTCTCCAAATTAATAATAATAGTAAAAAAAACTCTGAGTTTCTGCTGTCCACCAGTAGGCAATAGTGAGTCATGCGAGACCACAATCAACCCGTTCAGCAGCCCCGGATGAGGCAGAAATCCCACTTCCACCTGCCTGTCAAATATTCCAAGCGATATGGAGACAAAACCAGACGGCAGTACAAAAAAACCCCTCCAGTATGTAAAAGAACACCTGCTTGAGAGGATTCGTTAACATTGAAGTAATGGCTTACGCTTTATCTGCCCAGTATGACCCTGATTCTCCTCCTTTTCCTTTCTCTCCTTCCCTCCCTCCCTGTCTTTTTGTCTTTCTCTTGCCCCACTCAGACAGCTCGACTAATTTTCTGCCTGCTGGGACATGCCACTTCTGACTGCAAGGGACAAGAAGAGAAACATATCTTCATTTATCACTAAGTGCAATGGAGGACCTGAAGACCTGTTCTGCTAGACGCCGAAATCATTTTAATTATCTATAAAACATATGCTTTAAAACAAACTGTCTATACAGCAATGAGATTGTGATTTTAGTTTCCATGTACTGAAAGTACAGTGACACTTCAGAATCATTTTCCCCACATGATTTAGCTGATTAGAGGCCCATTTGCAAGATCTCCTACCTGATGGACTTGTATTTCCACTTTCAGGGCCTCCTGTAATGTTTGCAATTCCATCATTGATCCAGTTCACCAGAAAGAGAGTCCCAGGAAACTTTCAGCCTGTCTAGAGAAATCAAACAAGAGAGGTTTTGCAGACTTTTTTTCTATTTTATGTATTTAACCTTTATTTTGCGAGATGCTCTGCAGTTGACTTAATCTAATACCACCACGAGGGGGAACACAAGTCGGTATCTAATGTGGTTTGAGGGAAAAACGCACTTCTCGAGGCGTGATTCATGATGTCTCAGGTGGTAGTAAACAGACACGCTTTATTCAGTTCACATTCCCAGAGCAATTCTGCAACTCTGCACTGCAAGAACCTCTTGTTTAAGTTCAAAAAAGTATTTTGGCCAAATGGGACTAAGAGGAGAAAAAAAAACTCAATGGAGGGTCTTGTTGAAAAGCAATTTTCTGGGAAAACTAGGGTTTGGTGGAGGATAAAAATGTGTGACAATCGAGAAGATGGGCAGGACTGTTTGCCCTACGGACGAATCGAAACAACCTTGATGCTTAGTGTAACAGTGAGCGAAACGGAGGCAGTGTTACAGACATTCATTCAATCTCATTGATTTTGGTGTGCGGCCCTGTGCCAAGAGGACAATTATAACAGAGGCTATTAGAGGACTTACCAGCTGGCACTGAGACTGGTGTTCATGTGCTCTCTCCAACTCCCTTCACAAGATGAAACACACACACACACGAACACAGCCTATTAGATGGGGGAGAGACACTCCAATTCCCTCTCTCTCTCTTATACAGTCGGTGTAAAAAGGGGCAACATTGCAAGCGCAGCATTCAGCGGGCTTCTAATTGCTCATCCCGTCTATGAACCCCACGACAAAAAAGTCCTGCATCCCTGCACATCTCCCGGCATCTTCGCGGACCTAAAAATATCTTCTTCAAAACTCAAGCATCGGATTTGTCCTTTGTGTAGTTCTACCAAATGGAGTTCTGAGATATTAAGCGAAAGCCTGTCCTCGCTAGCGATGACATCTGTCATGACCAGTGTTGGGGAAAGTTACTTTTAAAAGTAATGCATTACAATATTGCGTTACTCCCTAAAAAAGTAACTAATTACGTTACTTAGTTACTTTTTATGGAAAGTAATGCATTACGTTACTTTTGAGTTACTTTTTAAAATCTGGGCAGGGCATTCTTGTTTGTTTTTAATATAAAAAGTTCTTATTTTACAAATGTAAAAGCCCCTTCACACCAAAAGTGAAATGAATACGCCTCAGGCTGAAAGAAATGTAAATTCACATCTGTACAATAGAGGGCGCAGCTCAAACAAATTACATGAAGAATATGACGCAGGAGTAGAAAGTTCAACACTAGTCAGCAATAACACAAATCAAACACAAATGTGTCATTTTTGCTTAGTATGGTTGAATTGGATCATCGAAGGTCATTAGCAAAGACATTGGTTAATAAATTGGGATTAAATACATAAATTATATTTGTCTTATTTAACATATCTACTTATTGCAGGTTTATATAATATTCTGAGTTTGCATTTGACTGTTCATATTTACACAGTAACATGTTTACACAGCGCACACATTGCCTCTGCACTTACTCCCGATTTCTCTCAACATGGCAACACATGAGCTGTCAGTCAAGACGTGGGAAACAAAGTAACTGGAGTTACTTATTTGAAAAAGTAACTCAGATATTTTCTTGTAAATTAAAAAAGGCTATTAGAGGACTTACCAGCTGGCACTGAGACTGGTGTTCATGTGCTCTCTCCAACTCCCTTCACAAGATGAAACACACACACACACGAACACAGCCTATTAGATGGGGGAGAGACACTCCAATTCCCTCTCTCTCTCTTATACAGTCGGTGTAAAAAGGGGCAACATTGCAAGCGCAGCATTCAGCGGGCTTCTAATTGCTCATCCCGTCTATGAACCCCACGACAAAAAAGTCCTGCATCCCTGCACATCTCCCGGCATCTTCGCGGACCTAAAAATATCTTCTTCAAAACTCAAGCATCGGATTTGTCCTTTGTGTAGTTCTACCAAATGGAGTTCTGAGATATTAAGCGAAAGCCTGTCCTCGCTAGCGATGACATCTGTCATGACCAGTGTTGGGGAAAGTTACTTTTAAAAGTAATGCATTACAATATTGCGTTACTCCCTAAAAAAGTAACTAATTACGTTACTTAGTTACTTTTTATGGAAAGTAATGCATTACGTTACTTTTGAGTTACTTTTTAAAATCTGGGCAGGGCATTCTTGTTTGTTTTTAATATAAAAAGTTCTTATTTTACAAATGTAAAAGCCCCTTCACACCAAAAGTGAAATGAATACGCCTCAGGCTGAAAGAAATGTAAATTCACATCTGTACAATAGAGGGCGCAGCTCAAACAAATTACATGAAGAATATGACGCAGGAGTAGAAAGTTCAACACTAGTCAGCAATAACACAAATCAAACACAAATGTGTCATTTTTGCTTAGTATGGTTGAATTGGATCATCGAAGGTCATTAGCAAAGACATTGGTTAATAAATTGGGATTAAATACATAAATTATATTTGTCTTATTTAACATATCTACTTATTGCAGGTTTATATAATATTCTGAGTTTGCATTTGACTGTTCATATTTACACAGTAACATGTTTACACAGCGCACACATTGCCTCTGCACTTACTCCCGATTTCTCTCAACATGGCAACACATGAGCTGTCAGTCAAGACGTGGGAAACAAAGTAACTGGAGTTACTTATTTGAAAAAGTAACTCAGATATTTTTCTTTCTAAATTTAAAAAGTAATGCGTTACTTTACTAGTTACTTGAAAAAAGTAATCGGATTACGTAACTGGCGTTACTTGTAATGCATTACCCCCAACACTGGTCATGACCACACGGCAGACGGGTATCTCAGGACCTTCAGCCTACAATGTACAGGAAACGACATCCTCTCAAATCGACAAGTGTATGAGTCACTCTGCCAGTCTTTGATCAAATAAAGTCTATAACACACATAGGGCTGCACGATAAATCGAAATGCGATTCACGATTCGACAGAAGCTGCGATTGTCATGCGTATCTTTCAGTGAAGCACGGTTCTGTGATCAGCAGTAAATCTCCATCCAAAGGCCAGAGGGCGCTCTCGCGCTGAAACGCCAAATATGCCTCGCAGAAGAAACCCAGAAAATGCCTATCGCTGCAGCTGAATAAACAGAAGATTCAACTGCTTTCATTAATTCAACGTGACTAATAAACACACGACTACGGCAATATATGGTTTATCTGAGTTCTTATTATTATAATTTTCATTAAAATAAAATATATTTATAATGCAATGCCTTTATCACTGCTTAAATACTATGAAATATGCTGCGTGCCTTATTCTGTGTAAGAAGCCACATCATCTCACAGAAGGATTTATTTCAAACACTCGACTGACGTTATGAAGTAAGTGGAGTAAAAATATGTTATTAAATGTGGTATTTTCACATGCTTTCAGAGCAGCATTTACTTCACAGAGCCGTAGTTCACTGAGAAGCTATGCAAACAGCTGTCATTATCGCGAACGATTTCTTCGATTTGATAATCGTGCAATAAAATAGTCTGCGATTTTTTTGCGTAACTTGTCTGTGAACTATTGCTATGTGTAGTAAATTTTGCTCCATCTGAAAGCACGTGATGATGATTTCCTGCTGATTACAGAACCGGCTTTACTAACAAAATGCGCATGACAATCGCATTCGATTAATCGTGCAGCCATAAACACACAACGAAATATAAGGATCACTTGAACTTTAAGAAGAGAACTGTGTCAGCCACAAAAATTGGGAATGATTATGAAAACCTAAGTTGATTATGTACATTTTCTTCATTTAAAAAGCACACTGTCCATATTTATAATATACTAAATTATAACAATTCTTGAAAACTAATATTAACTAGCGAAAATACATAAGCTGAGATGGCTTAGTGGTTAAGCATCTCTACTACTAACTACCAGATAACAATACAATACATAAACAATACCCCCCCCCCACCCCCCAAATTTTTTTTTTTTTAAATATCCAAAACCTATACCAAGTCTCTGTAAGAATTTACAGAAAGTCACATGATAATTATTAGGGATGGGCATTTTTCAAAAAATATTAGTTTTTGAATATTTAAGAGCATAAAATAACGAATATTCCGTTATTTAAATTACGTTTAAGGAGAAAGACGTTATTTTTTAATAACAAGCTGAACAAGCATATGATTAGGCATTATACACAACAATGTTACATTATATCTCAAGGTTTTCTTTTAGTTGAAAACGTGTGTAAACAAAATAAATAAATAATATATATATAACACAAGCATGCAAGCAGAGCAAACAGGAAAAGTAAAGCAGGCCGTGCCAATTACTGTACAGAACGTGCATACACTCGAGTCGGCTTATGTTAATGTTGAGAAAAACAATAATATCCATATGCTCGGGTGAAAGTTGGCTCCTCAGTCTGATAACAATAAGACGTTCCAGAGACACAAATATAACGGAGTGCTAAGCAAAGTTTCTTACAGCGCTGTGTGTTTTCTGTTCTTAAACCACACTCCCTCCAGGAAACTTAAATGAAGCACATGTCTCAAGATCATTTGGCTCTTCTCGGCTCACTCGGGTACAGCTGCGCTTACCTGCAGTCATGAATGCAGTGATGGACAGCTGTTTTGGTGTTTGGATTTCATGTGATTTCTCATTGTGGTGGTGATATTATGATAACTCAGTTTCACTGATTCATTTGATCAGAAGTAATTCCATTTTGTAAGATCATTTAGTAAGATCCTTTTTATCAAAGTAATTCCAAACTTCATGAGGCAAACAACGACATTATGTGATCAAATACAATCAACTTGTTAACACGCTCCACAGTGCATTGCACAGCAAAGCAACATGTAGTTAAATTTCGATTAGTGTTTTTATTGTTCAAATAAAAATCACAGATCGAATATTCGACTATTTGTGCACAGCCTTAATTATTATTATTAAATAGTGACAATGAAAGTATTAAAGTAAATAATAATATCATAACTGAACTCATGAAACGTTGGTAAGAGGTACATTACCCTAAAATAGCCAGGGGAAAATGAGCTCTAAAATTGTGTCATGGATGCCATAAAAGAGATTTATGTTGAATCATGATGCTGACTTAAAACCCTACATATTAAATATAAAAAAAGAGGACAACATTAGCATTTATATAATGAAAAATTAATATATTTACATTTGAGTTTACAATTCAAATTAGGCTCTTATTTGCAATAGGAAAGCTATACAGTACAGTAACAGGGGACTTTCCTGGTCTCTGTGAAGTTTTTGGTGACCTGTTGCAATGTTCTTTGTAAAACTGTAAAGTCTATATCCCAGAATAAAACTTTTAGTTGTAGTTTCCTGAATATATAAATGTACTTTATATTTAAAAAAGTAAAACATAGCAATATGAATTACACAAAAGTGAGAATAAGTTGAAACAACATATTACCGTAATCAATCAGGTACATTGTACAACAAAATAGTATTACGCCACATAAAAACTAAGCATTTTATTTAAAAGAAATACCTATAAATGTATCAACAGACAATCATGGAAATTATTTAATTCAACTGTTAACAACTGATTCATCTGAGTGCTGAGAATGAATAAACTTAAGCAAACTGATATAAGATGGCTAAAAAAAGTAGACGACATAAGGGTAATGTGAATTATTGTCCATTATAAATAGTATCCAGGCCTAGATGAGGTAACAGAATATCACAACTACACCTGACAGGACACAAGTTATAGGACTAAAATACTTCCAGTGTCATGTTACATAAGCCAATACGTTTTGTTTTGCATAACTGCTTGATATTAATGAATTGCATCAACAACAAAACTCCTGTGTATATTTCAATGGAGTTTCTGAGTATTATAAAGGAATTCGATCCATTACGTACATTGGTACGTGGAATCATAAATACCCAAAAGATCGGACTACCACAGTGCAAACATTAAAAGTGAAACTACCTGGATAAAGAAATCAAAACCTAAAGAAAAAGAGCTCAGCATTTCAGATGAGGGTGTAAACGCATTGTAAAGTTTCTCAAACAAGTGAATATCAAAATATACACATAATGAAAGCAGAACATGAGCAGAAAAACAAAGTTAATCAATAGCAATAACAAACAACATGTTACTAACGTTTGACAAACATCAACAATCAGTTGAAAACTATGATTCTAAATCTGTTGAAAAAGCACCTACATTTCAAACAAGGCTTTACAAAATGATCCAGCTCTACAATAGTGTGCAAAACACTCTGACAGAGAAGTTAAGGTGCAGTTTGACCCCAGATTATCCTGAGCTATACATGAAACCGGCCTGTAGTTCTGTACATCTGATCAGGGATGTGCAAGTGACAGGAAAAGTTAAGCAGCACTTTGAATAGGCCACTATTATAAACCTCAGGGAAACACGGAAGATGATGCCCAGAGTGTTTACCGACAGCATACTTTCACAACGATTCAGGGGGAAATGCATGTTTGATCCACTACAATAGACTACAATTTTTTCCACTCTCTAAAAGAATCTGCTTGTAGTTGGTACAAGCTAAAACACATCAGCGCCAATAACCAAAAAAAAAAAAAGAAACATAAAAAAAAAAACACTTTCTAAACAAACAACAACAACAACAACATCGCAGTGTTTTAAAAAGCATCACTTTATCACCCACCCACTACAAGCCCAGACACTAAAAGCCTTGAAAACTACCAAAATAGGAGTGAATCTTTTTTTTTTTTTTTTTTTCTCAAGCCATGCATGAGCAAAAGATCTTCATTCTACCTTCTTTTATCCCCTCTCTGCCATCGGATACACTGTTTCCACTGAGCTGGAAACAACCGTTGAGGCAACAATGTATCCAGCGAAGTTTAAAATGTTACAAAATAACAAAACGCGCGGAACGTTCGGTTCACGCGCTGCACTTAGAAATACACCACTCAAGTCCTAGAAATAAGCGGACATTCTGCTCCAAAATCATCGGGATCCTGACCTCTCTACCAACCCGATCGCGACGGGGTTTGGATTCGGAAAAGCGACGAAGAGTCTCTGAACGATTAAAGTCCAAAAACGAGGCGCATAAAAGTTGCAATAATAAAAAAAAAGATCCCAAGGTGCACTTACCCTCCTCTACTCACTTGAGCAGTAGTGCCTCTCTCTCTCTCTCTCTCTCTCCCCACAAATTATTTAAAGAAATATTTACAAACACTCCCGAGATCTCGGTCCGATCCGATCCCTCACATAGCTGTAGTGGTGCTCTGGGCTGAATTTAGCGAGGTTAACGACCTTATTTTTTGTTTGTTTAATTTTAATTTGTGTGTGTAAAAAAGAGAGAAACTGAGATACAAAACAAGAACTCTTCTTCAATCTCATTCACCACAGCCGCAGCACCCGACGATTCATCCGCGCAGGAAGAGGGAGACGAAGGGGGCAGGAAAAGTAGCCGTCAAAAAGCACAAATACTCCAAACATCCATCCAAACGATTCCGAAACATGGTGATTACTGTAAAAGTACGCGTGCTTAGTGTAAAAGTGGACGTGGAGTTACCTCAAAACGTGTTTGGGAAGAGGACTATTTTTTGTGACGGTGCGGCGAATTTATTTCACTTTGCCTAAGGAACAGCGGTAGTGCGTCTCCCATTGCCTAGGGAAAAACCCGGATGTAAACTCGGCGAAACTCATCTGGAGAATAGAAGTGGCAGTCTAACTCACTCAAACTCATGCATTTATACTCACAGACAGCAAAATACGTTTTTTTTATTAGCATGTTGATTATATATGAATATTGCTATAAACAAACACAAAATATCTATTTCAAATATACAGTAAATATAACTGGTTAAATTATGCACACAATATGCATACATGAAAAGTGCCAGACTGTAATAAAATAAGGAAAAGGTGCTGCTTAACGAATCTACCAATATTATAAGCTATTTATTAATGACAATATTATATGCTCAAACTAAGTTTCACATTTTACATTTATACACTGCACTATGCCTAGTTTTGTTTATAAAGTCATAAAATAATGAAAGCCAAAAACTTTAATTTGACGTATAGTGAACTTCCCCAATAATAGTATTAATAACTATAAAATATTCTATTTTTTTCTATTCTACTGCCATTAAAATATATACATCACTTACAAAACCATATGTAATTCTTTTTATGAAATGTCCACCGCATATGAGTTAATGACGTGACCCTCTTTTTTATGACATTTTTGAGACTTAAAGAACGAGTTGAATTCCCCTTTTCTATGACTAATGTGTTTTCAGTTTCTGGTTTGTTTTTGCAAAACTTTACGTTAAAAAGAAACCCAAGACTGTCCCAGGACTGTCAAAAGTTACATTAAAAGGCAGACATCCCTGAAAATGCCGATACAAGTCATTTATCATAATCTTTTATCATTATTTCTCTAAAAAGTAAGCACTTTTAAAAAAATAAACATTGTTAATATATGAAAAACTTCAGTCAGTGCAACTGCCAAGAAGCCATTTTGTTGCCATGTGACAAAAAAAACCTTTTTTTAAAAAAAAAAAGAAAATAATCTTTTTTATAGCCAGTATATATATATATAATTTAAACATTCTTATTTATCATTTGACACTTATACAAAACATTATTGTTACATGTATAAATAGGATCCAGACAAATGCATCTTATGTCTATATGGCTTCCTCAAAAGTACTAATGTGTTTTTTATTTCTATCCCCTTTCACACTGAAATATATACACCCAGTTCCAACTCCTCTTTATGAATACTGTGTCAATCCACAACATATTTTCAAATATGAAATGTAAAAACAAATGTACAATAAATGTCCTTATCAATACTACAGAAATCACAGGCTTAGCTGATCTATATTCAACTAAACGTTCAGTACAACATGTTTCACTGGATAAAGCGCCAGCAAAAGTGACTGCATCCCCCCATCCAGACCACCATGTCTGCCTGACTCCACTTCACTCCCCCATAACCTAACATCAAGTCCAAGTAAAAGCCGCTGTCACATACGACTCAATGCGGTTCATAGCTGTTCTTTTGATCAAACCGAACACACGCGCACCGCCGCCACGACGCTTTATATCTGTTCACGGAGGAAGAAATAGATTTACAGCATATTCTACGCAAATAATTTTGGACATTCTTATTTATCATTGACACTTATACAAAACATAATTGTTACATGTATAAATAGGATCCAGACAAATGCATCTTATGTCTATATGGCTTCCTCAAAAGTACTAATGTGTTTTTTATTTCTATCCCCTTTCACACTGAAATATATACACCCAGTTCCAACTCCTCTTTATGAATACTGTCAATCCACAACATATTTTCAAATATGAAATGTAAAAACAAATGTACAATAAATGTCCTTATCAATACTACAGAAATCACAGGCTTAGCTGATCTATATTCAACTAAACGTTCAGTACAACATGTTTCACTGGATAAAGCGCCAGCAAAAGTGACTGCATCCCCCCATCCAGACCACCATGTCTGCCTGACTCCACTTCACTCCCCCATAACCTAACATCAAGTCCAAGTAAAAGCCGCTGTCACATACGACTCAATGCGGTTCATAGCTGTTCTTTTGATCAAACCGAACACACGCGCACCGCCGCCACGACGCTTTATATCTGTTCACGGAGGAAGAAATAGATTTACAGCATATTCTACGCAAGCGAATGCTCCTACCATGTTATGAAAGAGGTGGCCGCTCCGTTAACCAATGAAATTGTCAGGAGTTAACAGTTTTTTCTGGGCCGCCATGACATATTTGTGAGGCTGCTCGAAATAGGCTTTTTGTTGTTGTTGCTGCTGAATTTGTGCCGAATCAACACACCGTGAATCAAAAGGATTGCGCTGTGTGGCAGGTGTCTGTAAATGTAGGAGCGGGTAGAATTTGCTTCAAATACTTAAAACGAGCTTTTGATCGGAACTTAACTCTCAGTTTGGGGCATTAAACTCGTCACACAGTGCGTTGCAACGCGCGTTTAAAACTATTGACCGCAAATCTCGCGAGAAATAAACAAACACCATCTGCTCGAGTGGATAAAACCAACGATGTAGAAGAAAGTATCCCTGCCTAAAATGTAAAGGAAAATACATTATAAACTATACTATATATATATATATATATATATATAAAAAAAATCGAACTAGTTGTTTGGCAACAATCTCTCCATCACTAGTGATGATCAGCTCAAATATGAAATGAAATAACAGTGGCTTATCTAATCATCATGACCCTTTTATTCTCCACCCTGTTCTATCATATATTGCTGCCACCCTTCACTAGTCTCAAGATGTCCAATTTAATCATGTTCAGCTGCAAAGCTCTAAATGCCACTTTCAGCATCACATATAGACCCTAAAGTCAGGCTGCACATTTAAATCTAAAATCGATCTTGAAATACATTGGGAACTTCCATTTGCTTCAAAACTTCAAAGTAGCTTGACGCTTTTATTATTTTGCCTCTGTGTGTCCAATTTACTGAATAAGGATAAACTAAAAAAAGAAAGAGAAAAGTGCATTAGTATTCAAATGTAAAATTCTAGACAAACAGCAGTGCAAATTACGTATTGTAGTCTCATCCATCATAGCATTTTTCTCTAAAACCTTCTGCTGGACTGCCTTACCACATCATTATTCAGTCTGTCACGTTTCTGCAGTCATTTATATTCCATGTAAACAGGAGATGCTGTGAAATGCAGTGCACTGTACAGCCTGGCTTGAATGTTTTGGCACATTCATAATATGATGAATAGGACATCTTGGCCTTCTCAGCCTTGTGTAAAGCGTTTTGTCTTTTGTGAACAGTAGATGGCGCCATTGCACTGGCTAAAACTCACACTAGTGAAAGCTGTAGCATTGCACTGAGACGCGCCTCAACTTGAATTAATGAAGTGCTTTCTTGCTCATTTGTGGCACGTGTAATCTAAGAGCCAATTGATGCTCTCAGATGGTACAAAAAGCACAATGTGGTAAGGTACAAAGAGTACAGACGACTATTAATGTTCTCGATTCAGCAGCAGTGGTATACATTTCTCTCTCACCTACACACTTTTTGCACTCGTATACTGTGGTAACCAGTGTCAAGGTTACGTGTAGGCTACACGTAAATACGTGGATCTGTCTAGTGTCATATGGTGACCAACAGGCGGCGCTATTGTGCAACAGTCGATCTTCATAAACGGTACACTCAGTAATATTTTGTCTCGCTGTAGCATTGCACTGAGACGCGCCTCAACTTGAATTAATGAAGTGCTTTCTTGCTCATTTGTAGCACGTGTAATCTAAGAGCCAATTGATGCTCTCAGGTGGTACAAAAAGCACAATGTGGTAAGGTACAAAGAGTACAGACGACTATTAATGTTCTCGATTCAGCAGCAGTGGTATACATTTCTCTCTCACCTACACACTTTTTGCACTCGTATACTGTGGTAACCAGTGTCAAGGTTACGTGTAGGCTACACGTAAATACGTGGATCTGTCTAGTGTCATATGGTGACCAACAGGCGGCGCTATTGTGCAACAGTCGATCTTCATAAACGGTACACTCAGTAATATTTTGTCTAATTAAAATATTTTGACCCTAAATAAATTAATAAATTTTCCTTAAAACCACAGTCACATGAGATAAAGGCTATAAACGGCTGTTTAATTTTAAATGGCGCGAGTCGCTAGCTCGTGGTTATTTTGCGATCACGTGACCGCCGACAAACTACTCAGTTTATCTCGTAAACACCCAGCGCATAAAAATGACTGCTTGTACCTTTTACTGTAGTCTAATAAAAAGCTTGGTCTATTAGCAGTGGACATTTTTAAAAAGTCCTTAAAACCACAGTCACATGAGATAAAGGCTATAAACGGCTGTTTAATTTTAAATGGCGCGAGTCGCTAGCTCGTGGTTATTTTGCGATCACGTGACCGCCGACAAACTACTCAGTTTATCTCGTAAACACCCAGCGCATAAAAATTACTGCTTGTACCTTTTACTGTAGTCTAATAAAAAGCTTGGTCTATTAGCAGTGGATTGCAGAGGTGTAAAGAGTACCTGAAA